AAACACCAAATCTGGAACCAGGCTTAGCTCCCTTGCGTCCACTCCATAATAATCATGGTCCCCTTAGACTATCTTCATTCGATCTTCTATCATCCTGATCTTCTCTTCCATCTTTTTCGCTTTGTCATCTTCATTAAAATCCGGGATACTGTAATCATCCGGATGATTATCAGGATTAGTTTTGGAAGTTTGCACCTTTACAGCAGATGGTGCTTTTCCTTTGACAACAGAAGAATTTTCTTGTGGTCTGGGTAAGATCTCGGGTGACATAATCACCTGTGAGGTTGGTGACATGGTTACCCCTTCGAAGGGACTTCCCCCTTCTGCACTAACTTGCTGTAAACATGATAACTTGGCCACTATTTGGTCGACCAAGGATTCCTAGTTTTTCTTGATGGATTCCGGAGTGCTCTGACTATTTTAAGCCATCTTATATTCCAGATCTTTTTGTAGTCTTGCCATGTTCTCCTCGAGTTTTTCCATTCTGGTCTCCATTTGTCTTTTCTTTGCTCGGGTATTATGCGGATAATGCATATTTAATGTCTGTAGTAGTAGACTTGGTGTTTTCTCTTTCGCTTTCTGAGACATGTTCTGTTTGTTAATACGAATGTAAAAACATGGAAAATATAGAAATAAACATGAGATATAGAATGCAAAATATGCAATGCTTGATGTATGCAACTTAGAGGCACTGATCCAGAAAAAGTGTTCATTATTATAAATAATCTTTATTCAGACAAAAATATCTTATCTTGTAAGAGACATAAAAACAATCAAAGGTACACTCGGATTAAATCCTCTAAACCCCAAATAGCTTCTAGTAGATTGACAAGTCTTCTGCCTTCATCCGTTACTTGTTGAATACATTGTCGAACCACTCCGGCTTCCCTTGCCAGGCTATAAAGATGACGGGCTGCCTTCTGTACTTGATCTAGGAAGTCTTGGATGGCTGCGTCTTTGGCCAGTGTACTCTTGAAAGGCTGACTTTTGGTGTGCTTAACGAGACTCGCCCTAGTTTGATGTTTTCACAGTGTAGCAGTGTGGTGTATTCTTCGATAGTAGGTACCATGTCCTCCCAGTTAAAAGTGAAACAACTGTATCCCGGGTTCCAGAATTGGACCATGGCTCTAATCAAGGGCTCATCAATCCTAACGTGAAGTAAAAGTGCAATGTCACCGTACCGTTGGCTGAACTTCTGTTTCCGATCATTCTTCCAACTGTCCCAGATATCTCGAAGCTCCTGCACATTGTTCTGTTTTAGGCTGATAGATGCGTAGCTAACCAGCTCTGACACATAGTTTTCTTGAAGGTTGTCTCCCTTTTCTTTTTGAGTCTTCTCGGACCATAGTCGTACCTCGAGGTTCTTAGTCTCTTGTATTACAACACCTTTGTCCATTAATTCGGATTATTTTGTGTAATAAACACCTTTTCAGGGATCAGTAACCTCTTGTTATGATGCAAAATGCTATAAAACAAACACAAATGCAAAAAGGTTAGTAAAATGATAATATAAAAATAAATAAGTAAAGTACACAAAAACAACAAGGTTAAAAAAACGTCATAGGTTTCAGAATGTGGTTTCGGGGTAGGCTTAATTTCTCCATAGTCTCTTGGGTTAGGTTCTAAAAAACGGTACCCGAGTTCTCCTTGCTGGTGCCCCCTTGGGCTTACCAGACCCTTAGTCCTAAACCCATCACAGGCTTGTGTGGACTAAGTTAAACTCAAGAGGACACATTCCCTTATGCCCATACGGAGAATAAATTCACACGAAGGCATAAGGTATATGAATCCCGAAGGTTACTTGCTAGGCCCATACGATGAATAAATTCACACGAAGGCGTCGCTTTCACCCCCACTTAAAACGGGTTCGGAGCTCGGGTATAGAGCCTTTAGATGGAAAAAAGAAAACTTTGATGGCTGAAACCATGAAAAAACGATTAGTCCAACTATTTACTCGAAAATAATCAAAAGTAAGTAAAAAGGATCGAAATATTACCTTAAAATTTAAACTTACCCTCTTCGTTAAAAAGACAATTGGAAATTACCTTAGCCTGACTCACTTACCGTCCCCAGTGGAGTCGCCAAACTGTCGTAACCGTTTTTATGTTGGGCCCCAGAATTGGGCTTCGACTTAGAAAAATGTGGATTGGAGTCGCCACCGATCATTTATTTAAAAAATAAATGGGTTGATCGGATACCCTATTTCTTACCTGATCTGCGTCTTACCATAAATATGTCGGGCTCGGGAGTCGGTTACGGTCAAGGAAGGATTAACACCCTTGAACCGCCCTTTCGGTACTACGTAATTTCCAGTTGTCTTAATTAAGAAAAATAACAAGTTAAATTAAAAGGTAAAATTTCGATCCTAATTACTTACCCTTGATTGATTTGAAAATATCCTTTAAAAAAAATCGAGAAATGTGTTAGATAAACAAGGTAAAGAAAACAAATAAGATACAATGGAAAAATAAAATAAATAAAATAAATAAGTAAGATAAGAACAAAAAATAGTAAAGTAATAATTATATATAGTAATATTTGAAAAAAGGAAAAATATATATAAATATATCAAAGTATTAATAAAATAAATAAGTTATATATATACACCAAATACTTAAAAATAGAAAAACTACCCTCCCAATTCACCGAAAGTGGGGGGCTTTAGTAAGAAATAAGACAAAAAATAGGCCCTCTAGGTTAGTAGTATATAATATAATGTTTAATAATAATAATGATAAAGACACAAGATTTTTTAAAAAATAATAATAATATAATAATAATGAATAAATAGATAAAAAATGAAAATAATAAAAAATAATATAAATATATAAAGTTATAAGATATATTACATAAATAAAGAAATAATCAAATAAAAATAATTAAGAATATATATATTTAATAATAGGTATATAAATAAACTATTAAAAATATAAAAAATATATACGACTAGATAAAGATAATTACAATATATATATAGTAATATTAGACTTATAAGTAAAATATTAAAGAAATATATATATATATAATAATAATAAAATATAGTAAAAAAATAAATGAAAATAATTTAATATATATATATATACATATAATAATAATAACATGAATAATAAAAAATAAATGAATAAAATATCCATATAATAAATAAATAGACTAATATAGATTTTTAAAAAGCTATTCCCCTCCTTTAATCGAAAATCAAATCGATTTTTAAAAATAAACCTCGGGGTAGATCTAGGTTCGAAACTTCGAAACCCCACCCATTTTGGTCATCGGCGCAACCCACGTTTTGGGTTATTCGAACCAAATCTCAAGAAAAATAACGTGCACATGCAAAAGAAAGAAAAAAGAAAATGATACCTTTTATTTCATTTTCGAATCCTTTACAATAGTTTTGCCTTTGTATCTTCCCGTGCTTTCCTCTATGTTTTGTGTGTAAATCCTGTGTTACAATGGTGAGTTACAATGGCTATTTATTGTGCTTGTGGATCTTATCTTTAGGAATTTAAATCTTAGTAGAACTCTATTATATTTTTAGGAGTTTGAATCCTAGGAAAATTTTATCATATTTTTAGAAGTTTGAATCCTAGTAGGACGAAAATGTGTGTTGACACACTCGACGGTTGATGAAGAGAGAAGAATGGAATATCCTCATCCAAATTTTGTTGAACGCAACTCTGAATATATTCACCGTGGGGCTCAACCGAGAGGTATAAGGGTATCGACTCTTAAACATGATCTGGAGCTTCTTAATGCCGTATCCGACAGTAACCAATTTCGCTGCAAGTATTTTATGCAACTTTAGGAAGAAGGCATTGTAAGATCATATATGGGTACGTATTAATGCTGAATTTTCATATAATCGTGTGTTTGTTACTTGAAGGAAAAATGAAGAATCAAATCAAGATATTAAAACCAAACCATACATGGTCCCCAGGCTTTTCAACAGCTTCTTCCAACTTCTTCATGTCGGTCTCATCATCCCATGGTTTAACATCCGAAAGTAGCGTAGAAATAACAAAAAAAAATGTCGAAAAGACAACAAATATTAAAGTGCATTCGAGTGTTAGAAACGCATATATATTCAACTCGGAGAGACATAACCTTAATCAACACAAATACTTCTCTTTCTTCTTCACTGTCTTTTTGGCCAGCGATCACACTAACGCACACCAGAAAAGGAAATTTGACTAAACAATCACACTGGCAAAGCCGATAATTAGACTACTAATGTACAGATTGGAGCTAAGCCAAAACACAAGAATAAAACTACTTGAATCTCGATCCCACTCAATTTGTCTAGTTTATCTAATAAAACTGAATTTGATCATCGTGCTTCACTTCAAACTCTATTATCCATGCTTAATATTTACAAAAATATAAGACAAATTTGATTTAGTTGGTAGATTTCTAAAAATATAACTTAAATTCCAGTAAATGAACCTCAGCTATAGCAGAATGAGGTGGATCAACTTTCCCACTAAACCCCGACAGCTTCCCCAGGGAAGCTATAAAAAACCATTGAAAACAACATAAGCTTTTTGTTATGATAAATGGGAATATAACGGCAAGTAAAACAAGATAAAAAACAATAACATTAAGTTTTCCGGAAAATTCTAAAAAATAAAAAATCAAGGTAAAAAAATGATAAATTCATTATAATGTCGAAATCATAAAGGTTTCCATTGGATTCTAAGGTTTTAACCTACTATATAATCAATATATTCTCTAAATTCAATCAAAGTCTTTCATTTTCATTCTCCACCGATCATCACCGTCAATAATGATTCAATCTTAAATTTTCAATTCACCCATTTTTATATATTTTACCAGAAAAATCATAGACTCGATAAATTTATCATAGTACTATTCGCCTTAAAAAAATGAGATTGGGCTTAGAAAATGAGATTTTGAGTTGGATTTTGGCAGAAATATTGTATTCCTTCTTTAATTTATTTATTGCGTTTTTTAGCCCAAAAGCTTAAACCCAGCCCAAAAATGGTCGCCGCTAGAATCTCATACAGTACTTTTAATAACCCTAGAGTCAGGAAGCCTTTATACTAGTTGGCTTATATACAAAACCCTAAACTCCTCTTTAGCTGCCGCAGCTGAGATCCAACACTCTATAACAGAGGTACTCGCGTTGATTCATTCATCTTATTAACCCTTCATAGCTAGATTCAGTGCATATATTTTATTAACAATATATATATCTCTTCATTGGTGTTGCTCTATAGTTAATGAAATCACTTGGTACTCGCTCAATTTTTATTTTTTTCAATATAATTGCTTATTAGAAAAAGTGAATTTTTCCTCCGTTAATTATTTTGAAGATCTTATGTAGTGATAAGCTTTACTCAGATAACCATCTTCCTTGATTCTTGTTTGTGCTTACGTTTTTGAGGGCGTCCTTGTTTAGGGACTATCAGATATTATGTGGAATTTGTTTTCTGATTTGTTCTATTTTTTTTATATGATTTTTGGGTAGAAATGGGTGAGGAAGTTAAGGTTTTGGTTCCGGAGTCACTCTTGAAGAAGAGAAAGAGGAATGAAGAATGGGAGCTTGCCAAAAAACAGGGGCTTGAAGCTGCCAAGAAGAAGAAAGCTGAGAACCGGAAGCTGATTTTCAATAGGGCTAAGCAATATGCAAAGGAGTACGAGGCTCAGGTAAGAATTGTGACGTTCTGTTTCTGATTTATGGATATTGTTTTCATCGTATCGTAGAAGTGTCTGAATCATATTTTGTGTGGTCGTTAATGTGTCAGGAAAAAGAGTTGATTCAATTGAAGAGGGAGGCAAAATTGAAAGGAGGGTTCTATGTTGATCCAGAAGCTAAGCTTTTGTTTATTATTCGAATCCGTGGGTATGTGTTTATTGTGATGTTTTATCGGTTTATGAATCTAAATTCTAACATGTAATGTTTTATGAATGTTCGTTTTCAGTATCAATGCCATGCATCCTAGGACAAGAAAGATTTTGCAGCTCTTACGATTGATACAGGTACTTGTTGAATCTATGAAGAAATATGGTTTGTGAGAACCAAATTCCCATTTCCCCTGTGTTTGTTATTTGATTGAATTAACCTCAATTTTTTTAATATTTTTGGTATAGTTTTATGGCGTATTTCTTTCCAACACTGTAGGGTGATGGTTGTTAATGAATTTGGAAAATCTGAATCTAAATTGTTGTGTTTGTTCTTATCAAATACAGATTTTCAATGGTGTTTTCCTTAAAGTGAACAAGGCAACAATGAACATGCTTCACCTAGTTGAACCTTATGTGACTTACGGGTATCTTTTACCTTATGTGCATCCTTTCTTTCCATTTTAGTAATTTTATATGCTTGCCCTATCTTATTTCTGAATGATCGCATGGTTCTAGATACCCGAACCTTAAGAGTGTTAGGGAATTGATTTACAAAAGAGGTTATGGGAAGTTGAACAAGCAGCGAATTGCATTGACTGACAATGAAGTCGTTGAGCAGGTCAGTATCATTTTTGCTTTCAGGAATTTTATGTCATTGGGACTTGGATGCAAGTAGTAGGAGAGTTTATGTTTGAACATGTCTTCTATCCTTGCATCCATGTTTGTATGCGTAAAAATCGAGTAAGAGACAAAGTGACACGGTCAATTACTAAACAAGCTTTTGTATTGTATTGGTCATCAGGCTTTGGGCAAATTTGGCATCATCTGTGTAGAAGATCTCATCCACGAGATAATGACTGTGGGACCTCATTTTAAGGAGGCCAACAACTTCCTCTGGCCATTCCAGCTCAAGGCACCATTGGGTGGTCTAAAGAAGAAGAGGAACCACTATGTTGAAGGAGGAGATGCCGGCAACCGCGAGAATTACATCAATGAGTTAATTAGGAGAATGAACTAAAATATAATTTGGGTTTAATCCTGTCAGGACTAGTGGTTTTTGTCTATTTGGAAGGTGTCTGATCTTAATTTCTGTTGGAAATTAGAAACAGTTTTGTTTAAGAAAAACATGGATATTGCTTTGTTCTGCCATTGTTCTACTTTGGGATTGAGCTTTCTCGATGTTCTTTGCTTCTAGTTTTACTGTTGATACTTGATATATAGTATTTATTATGCTATTTGAATTTTGAAGAATTTTTTTTATAAATAAACGTTATAAATATTAAAATTATCCAAAAGGATAAAAAAAGTAAAAATTAGTTAAGATTTAAACAATAATTTACATCTAATTTGAGTTTCTTTTATTAAAAAAATCAATTAACTTCCTAAGAATATTTTTTCAAGTGCTTACGTGTGTAATTTTTTAATTTATTTTAAGTTGGATGATTATAATTTTGATTCTTATATATGTTAATGTATCAGGAGAAGATTCAGCAGCTACCGCAGCCCTGCTTCCTCAGGCGGAACTTCGGGAAGGATGCTAAGATAATGAAGACGAAATCTATTTTTTCCCTTAAAATAGTTCAGTTTTATTAAACCCGGTCGTCCTGCACTTCGATCTTAGCCAAGTTTCTATTACACAGGGCTTGAAATACATGGAAGGGAAGGGACCTTAAAATTACATTTTCAATCAAACTGGCGAAAGAAGTTATAAATGTGATTGTTAATCTCATCTGGTTTTTCCATGTTGATGTAATGAGCAACACCTTCCATTACCACCACTTCCTGCAACAACGGCACATCTTCTTTGAACCCACCATTGTGAATGTAGTCCTTCATCCCAGCCATATGATAAACCAGGTCCTTATCGCCTGTTATGAACTTGGCTGGTGTCTTGATCTCACATCCTGTCCATGGTGCCAACAGTTCCCAATTCCTGTCATCCAAAGTTAGACTTTTTATTATCGGATTAAAGTTTAGATCGATCGGATTGAATTTTCAAGATTAATCATAAACCACAAGTGTAGCCATATCCAAAATCAATGTTAATTTCAATGTTAAATAATTTGATCCCTCGTAGATCAATCATAATTCCGTACCGACATAGATTCAAACCCATATCAACGTTCTCGTGAATGATTAAAGTTGGAAAGGGAAATTAAATATATAAATTACCTGTTAAGGTTTCGGTAATAGTTTAGTGGACCAGTGAAGCCGGTTTTCTGGAATTTAGTGACATAGTAGTTAGCTTCTTCCTCAGACAGCCAAGAAGGTAGTTTAAGTGGGACAGCAGGTGAACGCTCGAAGAGTTTCCCTTTCGGTAACAAAACTGGGAAATCGATCAGGTATTCCTTCATAACTCTATCTATCCAATCTCTGCAAATTCAGCTTCAATTTCTCCAGGTGCCTGTAATATATATATCAAACAAGCTTCTCAATTCTGATTTATAGGTAAAATTCATACATATGTAAGCTCCGAAAAAGTTTAAACCTTGTTTCTAAATTGTATGTTTGATGATTTACCTGAAATCTAGATATGTAATGATCACTGCCATAATAAGATCTCCAGGCATCAATGGGCTTACTTTCCCGACTGAACCGAGAATACGGCACGCTCAAGTTCACCAAAGCTTTCACTTTATCAGGCCTAAACATGCACAAATACCAGGCCAACACAGCTCCCCAGTCATGCCCTACAACAAACACCTTGCGTTCATCGGGAGCCACCACGTTGACGAGCTCGACCAAATCGCCGACCAGGTGGAAGCAAGTGTAACTGTCGATTGAGTCGGGGGCGTCCGAGTCGCCGTATCCCCTCAGGTCGGGGGCCACGGCTCGGTAACCCATTGAAGACAGAGACGATTTGGTGACGCCATGAATACCAGAGCCCGGGGTAACCATGGAGGAAAAGAATCACTGGGCCATCCCCCTTTTCAGCTAAATGCATGTTAATGCCATTCACTTTAACTGTTATGTGCTCTATCCCTTCCATTTTTCTCAACTATTGACCTTGATTTCTGGCTTTCCGCGTGCTCTCTTGCTAAATAAAACTGATTATTGTATAAATTCATTATATTAAAAGATGATGCTCCGAATATTCTAATTTCATTGTTGAAAAGGACCGAACAACCTCTTTTATCAACGGTTCAATAGTCCACATCTTTACCAGCTTTTAGTATGCTTACAGAGTATAAAAATAAATTCAAAGAGGAAATCAAACCTTCTTTCTTTGCAACTCTCTCTACATCATATTCAAATCTTATCCAGTTCCATTTTCTTAATGAGTTTGTCAATACTAAATCAAATGGTTGTGTTTTTCATACTTTGTCCTATTATTTTTGAATTTTTTTCTTAATGACGACTTTAACTTCCTTAATCATCTAATTTAATCATTGTATATTTTTTAATATTCGATCATTGAATATCCACATTTTATATTTTTTGTCATTCGACTACATGACGTGAAATTATTTAATATCAAACTTTCAATAAATAATAAAATAATTTTGTTTGGTTCAATATAAATATTTGGGGTCAAAATCCCTGACGTGGAATTGACAGCTTCACCCTCTCATCGGCGGACAGTGACTCATCAATGACCTCACCTGTGAGATGGGTAATGATGGACGGTGGCTCCCGCTCCTCCTTTTTTTCTTCTTTCTTTTCTCCATTACTAAATTGTTTTGTAATTTGATGCTTTTGAATTCAACGTACATTTCTAATGCAAACAATGAATGCCCTTCTAAAATTTCAGTGGTGATTGATGCACTGTTTCTAATGCATTTCTAATGTTATTGTGTTGTTCGTGACTCGCGAGCACCATGTATAATTTAGGAGCCATGATGAGCCACGGCCGCCGGTGAGAAGGTGAGAGTACGGTGGGGGTTCTAATTTGGAATTTAGGGATTGATTATAATTTGGGATTTAGGGTTTGAGTGTATAATTTAGTATTTTTAAATTTATTTTTTATTATAATCTTATATAATATTAAAATATTAATAAAAACATGACATGTCATATGAAAAAGTAATAAAATAATCTATGAAATCATTTATGTATTCTACGTCATAACAGTGTTACTAAAAAATTAATGTTTTCCTCATCACTTGAAAGGCACACTAACACAAATATTAATGTTGTTCCGATAGCCAATCATTTTTTCTTGAAGATTCTGTGTCTGAGACATTTCCAGACACGGGGTATGGGGACATAAATACATAATTCTCTATGGACTCTCCAAACACATGGAAAAACATAGAAAATATTTAACCCATCCATGTCGGACGCATACCTATGTCCGATACTCGCATCTTAGATATAGTAACATAGAATAAGAAGAACGAGTAAAAAGCACATAAATACTCCTTTAGTCTGATTTGTCAACAGAGGCAATTTGGCATGTGATGCATTTGCCACACAATCTTGTTGAGGAAATTGAACATTGACTTGTTTTTTAACCTTAAGATACGAACAATTTTTAATATATATATATCTCGAGACGGGAAGAGTCTCTTTTACTCACGTTCAGCACTTGGATGTTAGCCAAGTTTTTATTACACGAAGGGCTTGAAATGCATGGAAAAGTATGGGACCTTAAAATTACATTTTCAATCAAAACTGGCGAAAGAAGTGATAGATATGATTGGTAATGTCGTGTGGTTTTTCCATGTTGATGAAATGCCCAACTCCTTCCATTACCACCACTTCTTGCAACAACGGCACATCTTCTTTGAACCCACCATTGTGAATGTATTCCTTAATCCCAGGCATATGATAAACCAGATCCTTATCACCCACAATGAATTTGGTTGGTGTTTTGATCCCACCACCTGTCCACGGTGCCATCAGTTCCCAGTTTCTGTCACCGAAAAACAACATCAACACGAGCTAGGAAACAACATACGGGTACATGAAAGAACACGGAAACTTATTCATGTTAGATGCATATTACATAATCGTATCCGACACTCATCTTCGAGGATAACGTAAAGGGTCACATATGCATGGATTCAAACCCGGATCAATTTTGTGAATGTTAGAGAGATATATATACCTGTTTAAGTTTCGATAATAGTTGAGTCCACCGGTGTAGCCACCTTTCTGGAATTTACTGACATAATAGTTAGCTTCTTCCTCTGACAACCAAAAAGGCAATGTTATGGGTTCATCTAATGGACGTTTGAACAGTTTCCCTCTAGGTAACAGTTCAGGAAAATCAGTCAGCAATTCCTTCTCAACTCTTTCCGTACCAATCTCTGCAAATTCAGCTTCTATTTCTCCAGGTTTCTGCAATACACATTATCAAACAATCTTCTTAGGTCTAACAATAACAAACCGTGTCAAATCCAATGCTAGATCTTAGTGAACTGAAACCTGGGTTTAAATTGTGGTTTAATTAAGATAAAACATCGATTCTGTAGCAAAAAAGTCCAAAATCACAAAATAAGGACCTTGTATCTTGTTGAGGGATCTCTCCATGAACAGTCGAAAACCCCAACAACAACAGGAAGATATTATTTTCCTGACTGCCCGTTGGCTGTTTTAGTTTTAAGATTTTGTCTCCTTACCCTACAAAGGGTCCCAGGAACGCCCTCGATTAAGGAGGACATGATCGAAGATTGTGTTGTAGTTATCTCATTTTTCGAGTCACTTAAGTGGTTCATTCTGATTGATTTAAACAAAGAGTCGTGAAGATCCAATTGAAGAATTTAGCAACTTGGAGTAACTTGATTGCTGAGATGACAAATCATAAAAGATCAATTAGCAAATTATTGAAGAAATAACCAAATTGAAGAACAAATGACCCTTAGGGATATAAACCGCGCCCTAAGGCCTAAAGTGCGGGTTACCTCGTCTAAGTCATTTGTTCTTCAATTCGGTTATTTATCCAGTAATTTTTTCAATTGGTCCTCCAAAATTTGTCATCTCAAAAATCAAGACCCTTTGTCATTAAATACTTCAATTGGATTCTTACGGCTGTCCGTCCAAATCAATCAGCTGCTCAGAATACAAGATGCTACACGATCTACAGACCATGTCCTCCTTAATCGAGACACTCGCAGGATTCTATGCCCTACAAACACAGTACCTTCTGATATTTGAGAGTTCCGACTAACCATGTAATCGGAGATCCCTCAACATATCTAGCCTGTTAAAAAATGCTTCTCAGTTCAAACAATAAAACCTTGCCGAATCTAATGAAAAATGGGATTGAAACACAGGATTTAAATTATGATCGCGGAAGCGAGAATATTGGTCAGTCTAGACAAATATCGATTCTGTAGCCAAGTAAATTTGAAACTCTAAAATAACGACGACTCGGTATCTAATATGTTAGATAGTATACCTGAAATCTAGAGATGTAATGATCACAGCCATAATAAGCTCTCCAGGCATCAACGGGCTTAATTTCCCTACTCATCCGAAGAAACGGCACACTCAAGTTCACCAAAGCTTTCACTTTATCAGGCCTAAACATGCACAAATACCAGGCCAACAGAGCTCCCCAGTCATGCCCCACAACAAACACCTTGCGTTCATCGGGAGCCACAACGTTTATAAGCTCAACCAAATCGCCGACTATGTGGAAGCAAGTGTAACTGTCCACTGAGTCGGGGGCATCCGAGTCGCCGAAACCCCTCAGGTCAGGGGCCACGGCACGGTAACCCATTGAAGACAAAGCGACGATTTGGTGACGCCATGAATACCAGAGCTCCGGGAAGCCATGGATGAAAAGAATCACCGGGCCTTCCCCTTTTTCAGCAAAATGCATGTTTATGCCATTCACTTTAACAATTCTGTGTTCGATCCCTTCCATTTTCTCAACTCTCTGAACCGTGATTTCTGGCTTTCCACATCCTCTGTTTTATAGTTCTAGGTACCGTAAACTAAGGGGCAGTCGGTTTCGATCGGTTTTGGGTTAAAAATTCATCTGCTGAAAATTTAAATGTTTACGGTTTAGATATTTTAAAAAAAATCTGATCTAATCCGATCTAATTAAGTGCGACGGTTTGGATTTATGCGAATTTTAGATTTTAATTTTTTAAAATAATTCTTGAATTTTTTCATTAAAAAACATGACATTTATAACAAAATCAAATTGTGAAGTTTACAAAAAAATATATATTTTAACAAATGCAAGTTTGTGAAGTTTACGCACATTAATAGTTTCAACGAAACATACAGAGTAGTGAGGACCAAGAATAGTAAGGACCAAGCATATAAAGAACTGAACCTGCATAAACGAAATTATAGTCTCAGATCTCGCATCACAGAGAAATTATTAATGCATAGTCTAAAGAGAGAAAAGAAAGAGTGACATACACTGCAACAACCATGGCGAAAACAGACTCCGAGTGGAGGGAGCAAAATCGTGATGAAGTGAGGGGTGCCAAATCGCGACTGGGCTGTGAGCCGAGGATGATGCGGAGGTAGAGTCGTTTGGGTTGTGAGTGAGGGGTTGTGCTCGAGGAGGATGAGAAGAGGCAGAGTAAATTGGGAATGAACGAAAGTAGGCTAGGGTTTTAATTTTTGGCCAATGAGTGAGTGCGAGCCAATAAAAGGGTTTTATTTTTTATTGAACTTGAAACGGTATCGTTCTTCGCAGGGAGATAGTCATTCATTGTAAGAGACTATCGGTTCGGTTTAGATCGGTTCTGGATTTTTAAACCAAAACTGAACCGATCGTTTTTAAAAAAACAAACAAACACTAAATCGTTTTCGATTTTTTTCGATTATCGATTTTTTAGATCGATTTTCGATTATTTTTTTGGATCGGATTAGATCTGAACACTCCTACCATAAGCTAGTTTTTCTTTGCCTTTTTTGTTTCATAGTACCTCAAACTAGTTTAGACTTTACAACGATAAAAGTCTCTTTCTCATAATATTGTTTTCTCTCCTCCCCCCCCCCCTTTCTTTCTAAGAATTAGGATGATCTACTTTTATATATGAACATAGAAAATGCTTTCTCATAATATTGTTTTCTCTTCTTTCCCCCCCCCCCCTTCTTTCTATGAATTAGGATGATCTACTTTTATATATGAACATAGAAAATGATATTTTTCTCCCGTTTTCTTTCTTGTTAGACATATTTAAAATTCATTTAACCTAACAAAAAGTAAATATTTCATATGAAATTTATTCAACTTATTTATTTTTAAACTAATCTTTGATATCCGATTTAATTGTACAATTTTTGGTGATTGTTCTTTATTTTGCAGCAGCTAATTAATTTATATGCGGAACTGTAAATCTTATGGATTTTTAATCTAACTTGTCAGATCTAATTATTTTATTACTAACAAAAATTGATTTAAATTCTTTACCTTTGGTACTGACAATCAGGAGACGATTACCAATATGATTTTGGTTGCTGCAGTTTTTCCAAGTGAAAAAATCTGCTTTTCCAGATTCCTTTCCCGTGGTTTGACTTTGATGTTTTGTTTTGTTTCTATTAAATTATATTTCTTCAATTTTCAAGTGATTGGTCACTGTCGATTGTCTTGATTGGTTTGTATTATTTGTAGTCATTGTTTTTATTTTAATTGAACAAAAAGAATCTGCTCACGGCTCATATCCGACAAAAATCAGCTTTGGGCACGGGTGTTGCGCTCCAAATACAATATTGAAGATATAGTTCCGGCAACCATTAATCGTAGGGTTGTGTTTGGATCGACGATCTTGAACCCTTAAAGGAGTTGTGTACATACCCGAGCTACTGCTTTACCAACGCAACAAAAGTTCGTGATATTGTGAACAATAATGGGGAATGAAACTGGAATTTGTTAACTACTTTGTTACCTCAATCGACCCCCTTTTACATTGCTGTCGTTAGACCCCCGTGGATAATGGAGAACTGGATACCCCGGTTTGGAAATGGGATAAACATCGACGTTTCACAGTTTAGAGTGCTTACAACCGGAGGATACATGATGTGGCGAATGACGAGAGAACACGGCGTTGGAACCCAATCATACATTACTGGGTCCTCCCGCCTGTTAAGATGCTCATTTGACTGTTTTATAAAGATAAGGTACTATCAAATGAAGAACGTAGGAGGAGACACATTACGATGGACAAGCATTGTGCAGTTTGTGGAGCAACGGTAGAGTTAAACTTACACTTCTTTAGGGATTGTGTGGTTGCTTGAACCGCCTGGTAAGGAGTGATCAATCCTTCACGGATTGAGGAGTTCCATAGTTTGGCGTTAAAAGATTGGATCGAAAGGAACCTCACCCAACATGAATACTTCCCCATTAACTCTGCTGATTGGGTCCTTTTGTTCAGATCAATTCTTTGGTGCATGTGGCTACGCTGGAATCGAATTTTGTTTGACAACAATTACATGATTGAGGATAGCATACTCGTACAAAGCAAGCGCCTACAGACTGAAGCAACTTCTGTGTTGGCTAATCGACAAGTATGTTTAACAGGGCGCAGGAGTATTGTTCCTGGCAACATCCCTTGGCAATATCCGCCTGATAATGGTTTAAAGTGGACTCGGATGCAATATCCGCCTGATAATGGTTTAAAGTAGACTCGGATGGAGCACGTCAGACTGATAATGGTTTTGCTGCATGCCGAGGAGTGATCTTGTATGACGAGGGGAGATGGATCATGAGATTTTCTAAAACCATTGCAAAATGTTCGATACTTGATGCGAAATTATGAGGAGTTTTCAAAGGATTATCCTTTGCTTGTAACCTGATTTTGCACTCAATTATTGCGGAAACAGATAGCAAAGAGACTCTTTATGAGGTTGGCGTCAGGACAGGGCCGAAAAGTGCTTTGTCGATGACCCCTCACACGAACTTCATCGGCAGAAACTGAAATCTAAAGTTCTCCTTTGCACCTCGGGAGATCAATAAGCTGGTGGATACCATGGCTCGACTGGCCTGATCTCAACCATTTGGTCTTCATACGTTTCACGCACCTCCGACTGAAATGGCTACCGCTCTCCAAGACGATATGTGGGGAGCATCTCTGCAAGCTATTGGCAGCTACTTCATACGTTCATCCTTCGTTTTAAATAAATAAAATATATATATATATATATATATATATATATAATCAATTTGATCTAAATTTGTAGTTTCCTTTAAGGTAAAATATGTTAGAGATCAATAAATTATATAAAAATGATTTTTTATCGATAATCTTTCCAACGTCAAATTACTTTTAAATATTTTAATTGACTAAAAGGAATCCATATATGTTAAAGTAATAAAAAAATCAATTTTATCAAAAAGTTTTCTTCTAGGGCAAAATAGATTAGAGACTAATAAACAATATAAAAATAATATTTTCCAAAAAAACAACACATTTATCATGAAATGATTGTAAAATAATATCCTCTAATGTTAAAATAACAATAAAATTTTAATAAATTTAAAATTTATTTTTATAATAATTGGATAAATTTAAAAGTCACTTTATAACAATATGATAAATTTTAATAATCGTTTTATAACCTCTCAAAAACGTTTAGTGATAATTCTATTAATATTTGAAAAGTCTCGCACCCAAAAAAATATTTTTATATAATTCAACGACTTCAAGTATTCATATAACATGGAATTAAAAAGCCGGTACACACGAATGCACCAAAGGCGGACACGGCTCAATTTCGCCAGGAATTTGGAGATGAATGCCGAATACAATTGACCAAAATCGATAGGCGATTTCAGTACCATCTCCACTAAAACCATTACTAGTTAAACCGAAATCAATTCACATTTACGTAGAACTCACTCTGAAAGGAAAACTTTCGTTGACGAAACACATTAATTTACAGATTTTCATAGGATCGTAGACGACATCATTATTAGAGTACAATAATATATACGACATTTTATATCTTTAATATGTAAATTTAAATGCTCAACTGCCATCAGCAACGAACTACATACAAAACTTCGTTCACTGCAACACATTGATAGAACATGAAAAGGAGATTGCAGGCATCATTTCAAAGGTAGAAGCATTTACCTCGTTGGTCTTCCCAGGTCATTCTCGAGAACTAGTTTATGCTACACGAATCAGAAGCACAACCATGATGAAAACACATGTCATGGCTAACAGCAGAAGCCACTAGAAACAACTAGTCTTAGAGGTTTCGGAATATATCTTCATTGCACGAACATTAGTATGTCCGGTGGTAGCAAGACTCTGCTCGATAGCCGTCTCGGTGGAATCAAGTATCTGCAGTACACCAGAATAAGTGTATAAGACAAGTAACAAGCAGCTGTAAAACACAACATGAACAGCAAGATTATTATATCTCGCACACACTCATAAAATACGTGTCTATGCCTGGATGTGAATCAGAATCCTCCATTTGTTGAACAAAATGGATGGAAGAGATGCATAAACTAGGCAGGCTTGGCTTTTGCACTCGAGACTTGATCAAATAGTGTATAGAAGCTTAGGATACTGAGACCCAATGGAAGCATTGAATGCAAATGCATCACTTCAATAATGTCATGCTATACCAAATAAGGAGAGAAAACACTGGGAGAAATAGACAAACAATTAACATGCAATTACAGCATCCTTTTACACCTTTAAAATGTAGAGTCAAAACCACAGTGGTAGTCATTTCTTAGAAATACCTATTTTGTTATAAATCTGAATTAAGGTAATTCCGTCGATATAATGTGACCTAATCTAGACTTGCACCAGGTAAAGAGGACAATCCTAACAGCTTCACAGGAGATATTCAACTCAAGCTCATATTCTCCAAAACATATAAAATGCTGAATCTCACAGCTTATAAAGAGTAAGAAATCAATAAGAAATCATGTAAATATTAAAAGTACATAATTGATCTTACATTTTCAGTGTTCTCCAAGGACCTGCTCATCATGAGACTACGCTCTTTAAGCTGCTGAGCCAATCCAACCATCTCATCAGTTAAATCCTCTTGAAGCTTTCTGTTTTCAAGGAGAAAATAAATTAACAGATACATTGGCAAAATAAACCCAGAAAGACATGGGGATATCCTCAAGCATTATCATTCAGGCTGACTCTAAAATAGCTTTGACATAACAAGTACAATTGACAGACGAACCATTTACAGATCTAGTCTTATTTGCAGTTCCTCCCAGAAGAAAGATATCACAATTTATACTTAAACAAATCTTAACTGTGTAGTTTCGACTCAAAAGTATCAATAGGCAATAGCAGTAACAAATGATACCTATGCTTCTGTATGTGCGCTTCTGCTGCTGCATCCAGTTTGATAGATGCAGATGTATCAGCCTCAGTGGTGTCATGAGTTCGTTCTTTGAAGCTTGAAGTAGCTCTGTTTATGGCTCAAAGCAATCAAAACAATCTTTATGAAATAATAATAAATTCATTATTCAAGAGCTAATATGAACTACAGTCACCCTTAGTACTTAAGATTCACTTACACAACTCTCCTTCTTAATCCAGGAGAGGAAGGCATGTGGTTTTCTGAATCCAATTTTGGACTCTGCTTAAAAGAGTTACTTGCGACAGGCTCCTCAGATACCTTGATGTTTGGCTAAAAATAGCCATACAAAAGAAGTTAACAATGATATAGTCTATGAATAAGAATCACAATTCACAAGTCAGTGGACAAACACGGACAAGCACACATGCATATGAGCAAAATGCATACACGTAGATGTTTCTATGAAGAAGAAAACCATTTCTCATACATTTATACTTCCTGCATTAGAAATTTTGGATTTCTATTTTACAAATTCTGGGAATTCTTTAGTCATTATAAGATAATCCTTAAAGAACATAAGAACACACCGTTGTGGCAGTTAATTCTGAAGCAATATCCTCAATCATTTTTGAATAATCATTGACCACAGCAGTTGAAAGTCTGGGGAAGAAAACAAAATTAAAATTGAAAAGTTAATTAGTTGCCACAGAAACAAAACAGTTAAACCTGTTGCGTAAGAGAAGTAAAGAAGAATCATTTATCAGAAAGCAACATGATCTGTTTTTCTTATATTATTGTGCTCCATAAAAATTTAAAGTGAAAACCAAGTAGCATCTCAATCAAATTGAAGTATAACAAGGGAAGAAAAAATCAACCTAGGTAAACCTTTTGGTGTTCTCTCTTCAGCTAACTGCTCTAAAAGCTCACGTAAAGTAGCAACATACTGCAAATGAAAAAAAAGGTGAATTCTTTACATCGTTTTCGAATTTAAAAGGAAAGAAAGAACCAATAGAATGGAAACAAGATTAAATAAAAAAATATCCAGTAAAGAAAACCAATCAGCAGTCTATTATAGACATGGAAGTAAATTTTCTACCAGATAATATAATTAATAATTAGAGTTGAAACATGAAAGGACATACATGAATGAGTTTAGCATGATTTTTTTGTTGGAGTGCAGCTGCAAGTAACCTTCGAAAATTCACTTCTGTTTTACTGATTCTCATGTCTATGCCTGTCCTGTAACCTGTTTTTAAATAATTGATAAAGAAAATAGTAATAGAAGGAACAATTAAAGAGCAGTTTTTTTCATCAGTCATCAGTGCACATTTGTACTGTTTCATTACTCTCACTAGTCAATACATGTCATCATATAACCAAAGTATTGAAATGCCAGCCAACAAATGGCCAAAGAAACTTTCGGTGCACATGCAATTAGGTGGCTAAAATTATTGATTTTTTTGGAAATAGTAAAATCATTTTTAGTCATTGTAATTTAGGGTATTTATAAATTAGTTCTTAAGTTTCAACTATAAATACTCTAACTCATTTAGCTTCAAAACCATCCCAAAGCATTCTAGCTTTCTTCCAATACTAGAGAGAATTTAGAGAGTTTCTTGAGAGTTGTTTTCTCCTTTTTATCAAGAGAGAATTATCATTATTCTCCTTGGTAGATCGAGAGAAGTTGTAATTCCTATTTTCTCATAGTGAAATTATTCTACCGTTACCCGTGGTTTTTACCCTATATTATTTAGGGGGTTTCCAAGTAAATTTTATGTCTCTTTTATCTTCAATTTTTATTTTCTCAAATTATCAGTTGTATTTTTGCTCTATCTGATAGCCGTCTTCCGCAACAATTGGTATCAGAGTCAGATTTGAGTGTATAATATCTGCTTATTGTTTTTGTGGTTGTCACCCAAAGGTGGATCCTCCAACATAAAAAAGTAAGAAGATATTACTCATTCTTTGAAGATTCTAGAGAACTATTCACGATAGTGAAATAGTGAGAGCTATCCGTAAAAGAAGCTATTACAATGAAATTTGATATTGAAAAATTCAATGGGAGAAAATTCTCATTGTGGAAATTGAAGATGAAGGCTATCCTGAGGAAAGACGGTTGTCTAGCAGCTATCAGTGAAAGGCCGGTGGATTTCATAGATGACAACAAATAGAACGAGATAGACCGAAATGCTATGACAAACTTTCATCTAGCATTAGCAGATGAAGTATTGTCAAGCATCGAGGAGAAGAAGACAGCTAAGGAGATATGGGATCATCTCACCAAATTGTACGAGGCCACATCGTTGCACAATAAAATTTTCCTTAAGAGGAAATTGTATACTCTCTTGATGTCAGAATCTACTTCAGTGACGGAGCACTTAAACACACTGAACACGTTATTTTCTCATCTTACATCCTTAAGATGTACAATAGGAGAACAAGAACGTGCTGAACTTCTACTTCAAAGTCTACCGGATTCGTATGATCAACTCATCATCAACTTGACAAACAGTAATGTCATCAGTCTAGTCTTCGATGACGTTGCAGCTGTTGTTCTACAAGAAGAAAATCGGCGTAAGAACAAGGAAGATAGACAAATAAATCTGCAACAAGTAGAAGTGTTGACAACGATGAGAGGGAGATCAACGGAACGTGGCCAAAGCAGCAGTCACAAACATGGTAGATCGAAGTCGAGAAGCAATAAGAATTTAAAGTGCTACAACTGTGGAAAGAATGGTCATTTGAAGAATGATTGTTGAAGTCTAAATAAAAACTCCAATCCACAAGGCAATACTGCAAACACTTCAGATGATGGAGATGCTCTATGTTGTGAAGAGTTAACCACCGTGGAAGGTAGAAAGAGATATGCATACATATGACTCATTGATTCGGGAGCAACATATCACATGACCTTAAGAAGAGAATGGTTCCATCATTATGAACATGTCTTAGGAGGATCTGTGTATAGTTGCAATGATCATGCCTTAGAGATCATTGGTGTGAGAACCATCAAATTGAATATGTATGATGGAACAATTAAAGTTGTTCGAGATGTGTGGCACGTGAAAGGCCTAAATAAAAATTTATTATCTTATGGATTGTTGGATAATAATGCAAGCAAGATTGAAACATGTAAAGAAATCATGAAGATAGCAGCAAACTTGTACATGCTGAAGGGAGAGACTTTGCTAGAAGCAGAAGCCTCTGTTGCCTCATGTAGTTCAGATTCTGCAATGCTATGACATCAGAAACTTGGACATTGTCAGAACAAGAGAACAAGGAATGAAAGTCTTTGTGGAGCAAAAACTACTTCAAGGCTTAATAAAGGTATAACTTCCTTTGTGTGAGCATTGCATAACAAGTAAGCAGCACCGGTTGAAATTCAACACATCAAATTCTAGAGGCAAAAGTGTTCTAGAATTGGTTCACTCTGACGTATGGCAAGCACCAGTTACATCCCTAGGCGGAGCAAAATATTTTGTCTCATTTATTGATGACTATTCCAGGAGATGTTGGGTGTACCCTATTAAAAAGAAGTCGGACGTGTTTTCAACTTTCAAAAACTTCAAAGCGCGGGTGGAACTTGATTCTGGAAATAAGATCAAGTGTTTCAGAACAGATAATGGAGGAGAATACACAAGCGAAAAATTTGATGAGTTTTGCAGGAAAGAAGGCATCAAAAGGCAGTTCACAGTGGCGAACACTCCTCAACAAAATGGAGTGGCAGAGCGGATGAACAGAACCTTGTTAGAAATAACAAGAGAAATGTTGAGGGATGCAAGCCTAGAAAAATCATTTTGGGCAGAAGCAGTCAATACCCCATGTTATTTGGTGAATCGAGCTCCATCAACTGCAATAGAGTTGAAGACACCAATGGAGATGTGGACTAGTAAACCAGCTGATTATTCAAACCTCCATGTATTTGGAAGTATTGTGTACGTGATGTACAACTCCCAAGAAATCTCAAAGCTGGATCCAAAATCAAAGAAATGTAAATTCTTGGGGTATGCTGATGGAGTAAAGGGGTATCGTTTGTGGGATCCCACTGCCCGCAAAGTAGTTATCAGTAGAGATGTTATCTTTGTAGAAGATAAACTACAAAGAAAAGAAGACGATGATAGCGCTGAAAAGTCAGAGACTACTCAAATATATGTGGAAAAAGAGTTTGAACAAGGAGATTATTCTGAAGCAGAACCATCACATGTTAAACAAGAACCAGAGAGTGTTGAAGCTCCAACAACTCGTCAATCAGATCGTGTGAGAAGACGTCCCAATTGGCACTCAGATTATGTTATAAAAAGTAATATTGCATACTGTCTTTTAACAGAGGACGGTGAGCCATCAACATACCAAGAGGCAATAAACAGCTCAGATGCTTCACTGTGGATAATGGCGATACAAAAAGAAATCGAAGCCCTTTATAAAAATAATACATGGGACCTTGTGCCACTACCACAAGGAAGGAAGCCATTTGGTAACAAATGAGTCTTCAAAATTAAGCGAAATGGTGACGATCAAGTTGAGAGGTATCGTGCAAGACTAATGGTCAAATGATATGCTCAAAAAGAATGTATTGATTTCAATGAAATATTTTCTCCTGTAGTTCGACTAACAACAGTTCGAGTAGTTTTGGCAATGTGTGCTACATTGAACTTACATCTAGTGCAACTAGATGTTAAAACAGTTTTTCTTCATGGAAATTTTGAAGAATAGATTTACATGCTCCAGCCTGAAGGTTTTGAAGAAAAAGAAAAGAAGAACTTGGTTTGCAGGTTGAACAAATCTCTGTACGGTCTAAAGTATGCGCCGAGGTGTTGGTATAAGAGATTTGATTCCTTCATTATGTGCCTTGGATACAACAGACTTAATGCAGACCCTTGTGCTTATTTCAAGAGGTCTGGTGATAATGATTTTGTTATATTGCTGTTGTATGTGGATGACATGTTGGTTGCAGAACCCAACAAAGATCATATTGAAAAATTGAAGACACAACTGGCTAGGGAATTTGAAATGAAGGACTTGGGATCAGCAAACAAGATTCTAGGGATGCAAATTCACTAAGGCAGAAGTAATAGGAAGATTTGGCTTTCACAAAAGAATTACTTGAAGAAGATTTTGTCACGATTCAGCATGCAAGATTGTAAGCCAATTTCTACCCCTCTTCCTATTAACTTCAAATTATCCTCCAATATGAGTCCTAGCAGTGAAGAAGAGAGGATGGAGATGTCTCGAGTATCGTATGCATCAGCAGTGGGAAGTTTAATGTTTGCTATGATATGCAAAAGACCAGACATTGCACAAGCAGTGGGAGTGGTTAGTCGGTACATGGCGAATCCAGACAAAAAGCATTGGAATACAGTAAAGAGGATCTTGAGATACATCAAAGGTACCTCAAATGTTGCATTATGTTACGGAGGATCAAACTTACTTATCAATGGGTATGTCGATTCTGACTATGCAGGGGATTTGGATAAAAGCAAATCTACTACAGGATATGTGTTCAAAGTTGCTGGTGGAGCTGTAAGTTGGGTTTCAAAATTGCAGTAAGTTGTGGCTACATCCACAACAGAGGCAGAATATGTAGCAGCTACACAAGCCAGTAAAGAAGCAATTTGGTTGAAGATGTTATTGTAGGAGCTTGGGCACAATCAAGAGCATGTTTCTCTGTTTTGTGACAGTCAAAGCGCCTTGCATCTAGCAAAGAATCCAACATTTCATTCAAGGACAAAGCACATACGGGTTCAGTACCATTTCATTCATGAAAAAGGTGGAAAAAGGAACGATAGATATGCAGAAGATCCATACCAAAGACAACATAGCAGATTTCATGACGAAGGCAATCAATGCTGATAAATTTACCTGGTGTCGATCCTCCTGTGGCCTGACAGAAACATAAGCAACATGAAGGTACAAGGTATAAAGAATGGTGTGAAGAAGAAAGAATGCATCAAAAGACAGTTCACAGTGGTGAACACTCCTCAACAAAATGGAGTGGCAGAGCGAATGAACAAAACCTTGTTAGAAAGAACAAGAGCAATGTTGAGGGACGCAAGCCTAGAAAAATTATTTTTAATCATTGTAATTTAGGGTATTTATAAATTAGTCCTTAAGTTTCAACTATAAATCCCTAACTCATTTAGCTTCAAAATCATCCCAAAGCATTCTAGCTTTCTTCCAATACTAGAGAGAATTTAGAGAGTTTCTTGAGAGTTGTTTTCTCTTTTTATCAAGAGAGAATTATCATTATTTTCTCCTTGGTAGATCGAGAAAAGTTGTAATTCCTATTTTCTCATAGTGAAATTCTTCTACCGTTGCCCGTAGTTTTTACCCTATATTATTTAGGGATTTTCCACGTAAATTTTATGTATCTTTTATCTTCAATTTTTATTTTCTTAAATTATCAGTTGCATTTTTGATCTATCCGATAGCCGTCTTCTGCAGCACAAAGTTGTACATGAAGGCTCTCTTTCATGTTCTCCGTTTGATGCTTTGCAGATGTGAACCAGTTCTACTGGGCTATTTCGCCCGGACACTCAACTCAGAAAATAATAAAATTAGAAATGAAATTTGAGCCAATGTCTGACACGAGTACTCAAGAAAAATAAAAAGTGGAAGCAACATAGATTCAACTATCATGTTGATCTCGACAAAAATGTAAGAATATGGACACACGTAGATTTCAACAAACAACGTACCAATTGCCAATCAAGCAGGCAAACACCAATTATCACAATTCCCATCACCCAAAATCCAATAAGGAAACATGATTAGTCAAAATAGTCACCCAGAAAAACAGCTGAAATGTTCATTCCTCAATTTGGGAGTTCCTCCTAAAACAAAAGACTGATCTTTTGCATACATAAATAAGAGCCCAAAAAGTCCTGCAGTGCGATATATGAACCTGGTTTTTAATTCAGTTTTCACAAACTACTAACACAATTACCAACGTGATACCATTTTGTATAATTGTAAGAAATAAAAGTTCACGTATAACCTTGACAATATACAAGTCAGATTACATCTTAGCTCAGAGACCATAAAAGAAAGCTTCCGTGAGAACACGGAAACTGTACTAAAAACGCAGGAAGCCAGGAAGCATTCTAGAGGGAAAAGATATGTATCTCCGACCTAAATACTGTCAACAAACGATAAATGAAGCTCGTTCTGCATAATTTATCAAAGATATCGAGGTTGGCAAAGAAATGCAGATTGATTTTCAAAATAAATAAAATTCAAGTATAATTGAACGAGTAGAACCATATTCAAAGAATACCTGGAAAAGGCTTAGATATTAGTTGATTTTCAATTCAGATTCCAACAGTTTCCCTTTTCTTCTCTCGCGGTGGAAACGCCTTCGCGTGCTCTCTTTCTCTTTTCTTTTGGTGTCGACTCGACCACAATATGAAACAAAACTCCTTACCATCATTCATTCCTTTATTGGGTAAACTACATTTCAAGTTTATCTTATTTTAATTATAGGTTTTGAAAAAATAATAATTTACGGACTGTTTGTTTGCTTTTTAATGGAATCATTTAGTGTTGAATGTTTCAGCGCATTTGTTTCGTACCTCTAAATGATTCAATGTTGACTGATTCAGCAAAACAGTGCTGAATGATTCAGCATAATGATTCAGAGCCAGTAAACAAACAACATGTCACATTCAGAGTTAATTCATCCAGAGCCTCTGAATCATTCAGCGCTTAATCATTCTGAAATAAACAAACAACCACTTAATCTTTTCTAATTTTTCATGTCTTATTTTGATCAATGAACTATTACTTCTCGTTAGTTGATAATATGTCAAACAAACAAAAAAATAATTGATTTTAAATTTAAATCTTAAACTTTTGAGAATTTATATTTTCACCCTCTTCAAAATCTACAACCCTAACCTTAACTATCATCATTATTTTTATCGTCATCTCAACCACAAATCATGTTATTTCCCATGAAAAGAAAAGTTTTTTTTATCATATACACCGATAACTGCAATAAAATTCATCTCTTTAAATGAGATATTTGGATAATATTTCTCTATTGTATTGTGAACTCTTAACAATGACATAATTTAATTCCTTAGGATACTCTCTATGATTGAAAGAAATGTCAATTTCTCATATTCGTTAATTAAACACTGTACTTGAGAAGAATACAATAAAGTCTACACCATTCTAGTATGATTGAATTTAGACCTGAATTTTAAAACTACTAACACTTTATAAATGATTTATAAGTTGATGAACATCCACATTATTTGTACAAAGATGAGCTTTAATCAATTTTTCATAGTCAATGTGAGTATGAACAAAGTCTTTTTGAAATATAGAAATCGTGAAAGAAAACGAAAACTAGACAGTTGTTGAGGTTTAAAATTATTAACTTCTTAGATTTAGTACGAATGTGTAATTGTCTGCACAATATACATAGATGTAAGTACAAGGACATTGAGATTTGAACAAAAGGTGTACTACGATTAGGGATAGAGCTAAAATATCAGTTTAAAAAGGATAAAATACAATTAATAATAGAAAATAAAGAAATAAAATCAAAATAATTGAAATCTAAAAGTATTTGCCTTGTATATATTTTATAAAAAAATTAAGAGGTCAATAGCTCCCGAGATAAAGTATGACTTTGTCACTGACGATGATAGTGTTTTGAAAATCGGATCGGTCGATTCAATCGAGAATTGTTGTCTTGTCCGGTTTAATCTAAATCGATTGAACCGCTATTGGTGAACCGGCCAGAACCGCTGAACCGTTCGAACCGGATCGGCTAAAAACTGGAAAAAACCAGAAATTTTGTTTTTTTTTTTAAAAAAAAAAATTAAACCAAACAACGTCGTTTGTTAAAAGAGCCAAGTTGAACTCGAGTATTGCTGAGCTCGACTCGAACTTGAAAACTTTAAAAGTAAACTCAACTCGACTCAAATTCACAAACTAAAAATTATCAAGTTCAACTCAAACTCGAAATATAATATTGAAACTTGAACTCAAAAAGGCTTGAACTCAACAAAAATTTAGAAGCTCGATTGAAGCCTAAAATTCGAGCTTGATTGAAGTGAAAGAATAGTTCACTCAATGCTCACCAAAAGGCTCCATGATTTTGAATGTCAAATTACATCTATTATTTATAGAAGTTAGTTGTGATGCTCTTCTATGTTTCTTAGCAATGTGAGATTGTTTTGTTATCATATTTTCTCTTTAGACTTTTAGGATGCTCTTCTATGTTTCTTAGCCATGTGAGATTGTTTTTTAAAAAAATTAAACCAAACAATATCATTTTGTTATGATTTTTTTAGCTCCAAATTTATTTTTTAATTATAGTTATATAATTATATTTATTATTTAATATGTTTTACCTTAAATATTATGTTGTAGTTAATTTGAATCATTTTGTTTCACTTGATTTTATGGTTTTTAACTTATATATGTTATGATTTGCTTTGAATATGATTTGTGATATAAAAAATTATTTTTTATTAAATATTTTTAGTATTTTTATTTAATTTTTTAAATAATTATGACGTCGTTCGGTTCTTCCGACCGATCGAATCGATTCGACCGGTTAAACCAGTGAACCGGTAGCATGACCGGTTCACTAATCGATCCGATTCTGAAAACCATGATGATATCAATATTAAAGTTGAGAGTTGAAACAAAGGTTAGTTGAAAGAAATATCGAGATAAAATAAATTTTAATCTTTTTTGTTTTGAGAGAGTAAAAAATAAAAGTTTAAAAATTTTATGATTAAATTAAAACTTAATACTTTTTATATATCACATCATCAAATTAATGAAAATTAATAATTTAATCATTAAAATATAATAAATCAATAAATAATCAAAATATTATCTTTTAAAATGACTGACAAAATAAAACATACCAAAAATAAAAGAAACCACTGGTATAATTTACCCTTATTTTATGATTTATTTTTTTTACCAATTTGTTCATTTAGACAAAAAGTAGATACATGGAAATCATAGAATAAATCCATTTGACAAATAGACTATCCATTTGATAACTCACCTATTCTCATATTTTTATTTTAATATCTAATTATTATTTTAATAAAATTAAAACAAGCTTTACATTTTATTTTTATTTTTATTTTGATACCCTTTATTAATTTTGAAGCTTACCTATTATTCTAAAAAAAATAAAATAATATTTAACACTAGTAATCCTAATAAAAAGTTTTCGTTTTTATGATAAAAGGGCAAGTATTCCGAATATTTCTAAATATTCAATGACTATTGGAGTGATTTATCCATAAAATTATAGATTCAATACTATAACTATAAACAATTATTAAAAAAAACACTCAAAAGTAATATTACTTTGAAATATCCGGAAAGAAAAATACAGAGCTTGAAGAATAATAAAAACAAAGTTATTTTGAGAATACAACACATGATTTCAATGGAATTTGGAGAAGAAATGGAACATGAGTTGATTGATTTGGTCAGGAATTTCTAGGTGGATCCAATGGGTAACTCCTTCAATCACTAGTGCTTCTTCAAGCAACGGCACGTCTCTTTTGAACCCTCCCTTGTGTATGTAATCCTTCATCCCCGGCATCGTGTACACAAGATCAAGGTCACCCATTACGAATTTCACCGGCACCTTTATCTCACTCTTCCACCATGGCGCCGACAGTTCCCAGTTTCTATCAACCCAAACCAAAACAAATAAAATCACTTCAGTCATGATAACTCGATTATTGAATCTTGACTTGTGCTAAAAGAACTTGAACTCCTTAGGCTAATTTGATTAAAGATCAATCTCAAACTTCTGAATTTTAAATACATACAAATCTTACAATATATTTAGAAAAAAAATATAAATATTAATATTATTAAGAATTAAATTTAAAAAATAAAATTTTAATATATTATTTTTCTATGTTAATGGCGAAAGTCGAATTTGAACTCAAATCTATTCAAATCAATATTGATCTAACTTTATCCTAATCAAATTCGAATATCTTAGGATTTATCTCGTATTATTTAGATTCCTAATTAAGAGCATAATTAGAAAACCAATTCAATGATCTAAATGTGTTTTAGACTCGAAATAGTTCAGGGAAAAATAGGAATGAAAGAGATACCGGTCAAAGTTGCGGTAATAGTTGAGAGCACCAGTGATGCCAGTTTTCTCGAACTGGGTGGCGTAGTAGTCGGCGTCTTGCTGTGACATCCACGGCGGCAAGTCAACCGGAGCATCCGGTGGATGTCCGAACAAATTTCCCTTTGGTAAAAGAAGTGGGTCGGGTACCCGGTACGATAGCAGATCCAACACTGCTCTTCCTACACCAATCTCTGCAAACTCCGCTTCCATTACTCCGGGTTCCTGAAACCGGACGATGTAATGGTCATTCCCAAAGAAAGCTTTCCATGTTTCGACCGGTTTAAACCGTGGATTGTAAGGGATGAACGGCACACTCAAATTGAACAAGGCTTTCACCCTGTCCGGTCTGAACAAGCACAGGTCCCAAGCAATGATGGCGCCCCAATCATGACCCACGACGAACACCTTATCCTCTGGCGCAACCGCATCCAGCAGCACGATGAGGTCCCCCACCACGTGGAAGCAAGTGTAGTCGGAGACAGAATCCGGCGCATCAGTACCGCCGTAGCCGCGGAGGTCCGGCGCCAAGGCACGGTAGCCGAGGGCGGCTAAGGCAGTGATCTGGTGACGCCATGAGTACCAGAGATCAGGGAAGCCATGGAGGAAGAGAATCAGTGGGCCTTCTCCTTTCTCTGCAACGTGCATGTTTATGCCATTGACGCTCACTGTTCTGTGCTGAATCCCCTCCATCTTAATCTCTTATTCACCGTCTATTACTTTCTTAAGCTTAAATATGAGCGGTGGTAGGGATGGTATACAGACGGATCGAGTGCGGATACCCCTTCTCATCCTCATACCCACCTAATATTTTTCAATTCACCACCTATCCACCATTTATGATGGGTACAAATTTTCAAATACACCCCGCTCACGCGGGTACATTTTCAAATCTATCCCCATACCCACTATCCACTAGCGACATACCCATCTATACCCGCCTGACAACAAACTAATGGGATGTTGGAATTGATTCCCAGACAGTTCGTGATGAGGTAGCAGCGTATGTTTCAATTTGTCAAAGGAGTAGCTCTACGAATGTTATGAAGAGAGATTGTAGGGAGCATGTAGTCGTAGAGCTTGATTGTTGTGTTACTTTCGATGTTAATGCTCATAGTGCATCTAATATGAGTTTTGAGGGACTAAAGAACATGGAAACTGCTGCTTTTGATGTTAATGCTTATAATACGGCTAATTTGTGTTTGGATTGACAGCATGAGCTAAAGAACATGAAAAGTGATGTGGTTAGTGGGATTATGAGTTTAATCAAAGAGCCGAATATTTCCTTAATTAAAGATTAAATATCCTTAATATTTGGATAAATTATATGTTATAAATTATACAATATTAAAATTTATAAATTAGTCTCTAAAATTACACCTAAATTTATAATGGTCTAAAATTTAATAGATATTTAGCTGGGTGGGCGGATGTGGGGCAGGCGGATGCAAGGCGGATGCAAGGCGGATGCGGGGTGGGTAATGTCTCAAACCCATTACCCGCCCACGACCCACGACGGGTACCACTTTATAAATCCACACTCGCCCACTACCCGCTAAAATTATGCCCATCTCCGTTTTAATTAGAACAGATACGATACGAAATCTATAAAATTATACCCGTTTACCATCCTAGTGTGCAGCCGATCCTTATCCTTTTAACAGTGGGAATTGGAAACCAAAGTGAAATTTGATTCTATCCATTTACAATTTTCAGAATAAAATAAAATAGGTAATAGTTTTGATTTTTGTGTCATTTTGGCCAAATTGCCGTGAACCGTCTATATAAGAAAAAGGAAAGAAGGAAGAGAAATTGTCTGAAACGTTTTCAGACGGGGCCTGCTTACTTTTTGATAGGCACGTTTTCTTCTTCTTCTTAGATTTTTGGGTAAACTACAAGTTTAGTACTCCAATTATAACTTTTATTTTATTTGGTAATCTAACTATTTCTTTTTAAAATTATACATAATAATTTTAATTTTATTTTGATCATCTGCTGTTAAAAAATAATCAGTGATCCTAACTTGTCACTATAATATAATGTTATATCACTATTAAAAAATAAAAAATGTAATGTCAGTAGTTATGTTAATTTTTTAACGATAGATGACAAAATGAAACTAAAACATAACGTTAGATGTGATTTAAAAAAATAATTAGGTGACCAAAATGAAATAAAAGTGATGATTGAGATATTAAACATATAGTTTACCCTATATTTTATTGGGGAAAAGGTTAAATTATATTTATTTTTTTATTTTAAATGTTTAATATTTTTAATTAAAATAATTGTTCAAAATTTATTTTATAATTATTTTAAGATTGATATGTTTAGTGTTAAAATAAATTATTTATTTAATGAATGTCTTACATATGTCTTAATAACTTTTATTTTTTATTTTATTATATTTTTAATATGAATTTCCTTTTTTTTTATACATTTCATATTCAATCATTCTCTCAAATAAATCTTAATCATATGTTTCATTTTTCTATTTGTTGAAGAAATCCTAATAAAATTTGTAACATTTCTATTTGTGGAGGCTTAATATAGAATTAATGGCTTAAATTATACTATTTTTTTTATTAAATTAGTGTATACTTTTTTAGACTGATCTAGATGTCCAACGTTACAAATATTATTTTAGATGTATCGACTGTAATAATCATTATAAAAGCCTATTAAGTGACATATCACATTCAAACAACTTTAATTTTTAAAAAGAACTTAAAAAATTATTATATTTAGAAAATTTTAATTTCTCTTAAATTATAAAAAAAAAACTCAAATTCCTAAAAAATTAGAACCCCTAACCATAACCTTAGATCCCTTGTTGGCTACGGTCATCGTCGCTGATGTAGTTCTTGCCAACTTCTTAGGGGACGTTTGGATGGGGGAATGTGGGATTCCTATGGGAATGAAATCCACATTCCCCGTTTGGTTAGTCTGGGAATCCCATTCCCGGTAATGTAAAATTACCAATAGTGGATTTTTTGGAATATATTACCGGGGATGTCATTACTTCCCTTTCCTTAGGTATTGTTGGATTACCGGCGTTTTAGACTAAAATGCCCTTAATTTTTTTTTCCAAAAATATCATTCTTCTGTCATTGAATAATAAAAATTTTACGAAGATTAAATTACAAATTTAGCCTTAAACTATTTTAGATTTACAAAAAAATCTATAATTAAAATTTTATATGAAGTTCAGGGGTTAAAATGAAATTTTACTCTTTCATTAAACCTTTTTATATCTTCAATTTTGTAAAAAAAATTATATAAATTTTATAAATTTAAATTTTTTAAAGAAAATATATAAATATTTTTCAACTTGTTAAAAAATAAATATATAATAAGGACAATTTGGTCAAATATACATTCCAATAATCTTTTATTTCTTTAACCAAACATAATAATCTTACATTCCTGCTAAGCCAACCAAACACAAAATACAACATTCCCAATAATCCTATTCTTTGATAATTTTACATTTTCACTGGTAATTTTACATTCCGTGGACCAAATGCACTCTTAGTTAAACATTATCATCCTTATCGTCGATTAAATGTCAAGATCGCGTGATGTCACAATTTGTAACTTTGTTATTTGTTGGGATTATGTGATTCGTCAGCTCCATTTTTGATTCGTTGACTAATGTTCTAGTGACTTTTTGTCAAGTAATTGATCGTCTAGTAGATGTGTGATCAGGTGAAAATTTGTCGACAACTAACATAGATTTAGAGATTGAAATTAGAATTTTTTAAATTAAATTTTTAAAAGTTTTCTTTGAAAATTTTGATATATTTTTTAAATATGTATATATTTAAAATTATATAAATGTGACGTGAGATTCTTATCCTTTTTCAAACTGAAAATTGGAAAGCAAAGCGAAATTGGATTCGATCCAACTACTTTTAGAATGAAGTATATTTTATGTATAGGGTTGGCAAAACTCACGTGAACCTTCGAGATAAGAGAAGGAAAGGCCGAAAATAAATAGTCTGAATCATATTCAGACGAGGCGCTTACTTTTTATTTATCTGTTAAAATAGATAAAATAATTATTTTGATAGGCGTTTACTTATAAATAAATAGTCTAAAACATTTATATTTAAAGTATTACCTTATTTAATAATATTTTTAATAATTTTAATAAAAAAATATTTCTCTTTTTTTTTAAAAAAAAAATGAAAAATTATATTGATAAAAATAAAAACATAATTTTAAAAAATCACTATTTTTATAGTCATTATATCAATAATCAATAATAAAATACTTTTTTATTAAAATAATTTTTTTATAATCATATTCAACACATTTCCAAACACAATCGTCTATAATTACTAAAAGAATCTCCAAATACATGAAATTATTGAGAGAGAAAAATTAAACTCATCCCTGTCGGACATTTAAAATGAAGAGATTGTATAGGTTCTGGGTATGTGTTTGACCGACTTGTTACACAATATTCTCTCAAACACCAAACAGACCGTACACTTATACATTGATTCACTGTGTAAAGATGTACTTGTTCATAAGCAACGTAATGTAGTATACAGGAATGGTTGACGCAACCCTATGTTGAAAACAAGAAAATCTCTACTTGAAAGAGTTAAAGAAGCTGACAGTGTCATCGAGGGATCGGATGAATTCATCGACATCTTCTCTGGTATTGTAGAAATAAAGGCTTGCACGTGCGCTTGCGTTGACTCCTAGGTGGCGATGGAGAGGCTGGGCACAATGGTGACCTGATCTGATAGCCACCCCATGCTGAGATTAAACGGAATATGTTATCATTCAATATAAAAACATCCTTTTTGAAATCTATTCTATATAAACTAAATTTGCATCCGAAAAGGGTGGTTCAAGCCATAAATTCTAGCCCTACAAGTTCTTTATGGGGTTTCCAATCAGAGTTTCACAATTCATAATATTTCGACGGCAGTTGTCGAAACTAACCACAATGCCAAACAAAACAGATAGGATAAGAAAAACCAGACTGTATTATACTTCTATTCTTTATATATTATGCTACCTGTTGGTCTAGAAAAGTTGCAAGATCTGTAGGATGAATATTCTCGACATTGAAAGAACAGAGAGCAGCACGGTGAATGTTATCAGAAGGCTTTGGACCATAGATCCGAATATTTGGAACAGAACAAAGTTTTTCGTATAAATAATTGACCAGCTCCATCTACAAAATTAAAACTACAACATAAGCACAGGAAAGAAAATGTCACAGCTTACCAGAAAGTGGCTTTTAAGTTGGTCTAGCTGCCTTATGATTAAGGAACAAAATGTGCAAACGGCAAAAATTGTAACTCACCTCATAGTCATGAATCTTCTGCATGCCAATCCCAGACAAGTAATCGATTGCAGCCCCTAATCCAATTGCCTCACCGATTGCAGGTGTTCCAGCCTCAAATCTAATCAGGTTGAAGAGCAAGAACAGAATAAGCCATTATATGCAACAAAATATAAAATACTTAGGATGACAACATTGTCTGTTTTTCATTTTTTTTTTCTTTTGAGTGTCTTCTCTGGACTTTTAAAAATTTGTTCACAGGTGAAGATACATTGGCAATATTTTCAGAAGTCAGAACACTCCATATTTTAGTTCTTCAACTTTGAGCAATCATGTGTATGTTGCAGTACGTTAGTCTCTTGATAATATGTTAAGCTCATTGCCCTTGATCTCTTTAAAGTTACATGTACAGTTCTCACCAGTCACCATAAATGGATCTTACCAGTTGGAGCACCCTAGAGAGGATTCATTACAGTGTGGAAAGTAGAGAGAGAAAAATCAGGTAGTTAAAAGTGAGATTAACTCAGACCTCATACTTATAATAATAATAATAAGAAGAAGAAAAGTCAAGGTATATCCATGACATTGATCTTAACGTATTTTTTGTCCATGTTCAGTGACTTTTAACGATGTAACAGTTTAATGGGAAGGGGGGAGGGGTATAGGACTCATATTCAGCTCTTCAGAAAGCCAATTTAACCACACATACACAACTCGAACAAATTAAAAACTGTCATCCTTGAACTCTTTAGACTTTATCAAAGAATACTTTTAAGATGAGGATAAGATCACTAACCTGGACGGGGGTTCTGCATATGTTGAATGATCTAAAAATACATCAGAGATCATTTCTCCACCACCTAAAAGGAGAAAAATCATTCAGGATCAGCTTTACACTACTTCCCGACCCTATTCTCATAGCTTTAGATACTCAGAACTGTTATAATAAGAACTTACCTAAGAATGGAGGCATGCCTAACAACAGATTGCTCTTCCCAAATAGGAATCCAATGCCTGTAGGCCCACACATCTGAAACATGTTTATTCCTTAACTATGTATACTTGTCCATATATGGCTTATATCATACATAAGGCAACACACAAACCTTGTGAGAAGAAGCAACAAGAAAGTCAGCATCAAGACCTTGGACATCAACCGCCATATGGGGAACACTTTGACAAGCATCTACAAGCACTTTTGCTCCAACTGCATGAGCCCAGATCACAATGTCTTCAATAGGAAGAACTGAGCCTGCAAGAAAAATAAAATTTTGGTCCAATAAATATAATCATGCTAATTATAATCCCATGTTTAGAAAACTGTTGATAATGATGAAAACGAGATCATCCATCAATAACTTTAGACGAACAAAGTATGATCAGATGATTTATTCCACAATAATCTACTTTTTTCTGTTAATTCCAATCTTATTACTTTTTTCAGCGGAAGGGGCGGCAATATGGCATTGCATGGGTTATTTGGGGATATTGGCCAATAAAAACGATTACATGGAAACTAGAAGCACCTCCAATAAGCTGCATTTCCATAAACTTGTTTTCCAACTCTCAACTAAAAATACATATTGACTTGATCTGATTGAGTGTTCTCAAACAGAAAGGGAAAATGCAGGTACTTCATGTGCATATCCAATTCGTCAAGACTCAAATAAAACTTGGCCAAGTTCAATTCACAAATGAAAATATTTATTAATGTCACCAACTCAAAAAACATGAGAGGAAGAAGATTAATTTGTATTCTTTAGAAGTATTCACATGCAAAACTGGGACAGCAGATGTAAACAGAAACCTACCAAGCACATTAGACACATGATGAATAACTACAAGTTTTGTTCTTTCAGAAATCATCCCCCTCAGCTCCTCTACATCTGGAACCTCGTTCTCATCTAAACTTACAAATTTCAAAAATAGCACCCGTTTTTTGTGCCACAATTTGCCAAGGAACAATAGCACTATGATGTTCAGCAATAGTAAGTATAATCTGCAAACATAAATTACCAAACATCATGATTCAATGAACACCAACGACTACCCTACATGAAAAAAAAAGAAAAGCTATATTTTTCAAAAGATTGATCACTTAACACAACCTCATCCCCATGCCTTAGATTGGACAAACCCCAAGAATAAGCCACTAAATTAATAGCCTCAGTAGCATTTCTTGTGAATACAATCTCAGTAGAATCTGATGCATTAATAAATGCTGCCACTTTCTTCCGTGCCAACTCGTACTCATCAGTTGCCTTGGCACTGTATTTATAATCAATGTAAAACAAAGGAAAAAGATACATATGTTTAGATCTTTGCTTCCTATAAAGTTGCTAGAAAGCAATCAACTAGTCTTACAAGAGGACATATAACTAAGATGCAACAAGGTTCTAACAAAACTGTTGTATTTGAAGTAAGATGTTAGTACATGCTACCTTGCACCCTTACAACATTTCTATTGCTAATCAATATGCTACAAAAATATTATTTTTGTATTAAATAAAATAACTAACCACTTCATTTATGATTCGAACGTTGAGAAAAGATAGTTAGTTTATATGGTATGATTTTGAAATAGTGTGCCATGTGGTACTTTCTAAAGATGCATTTGAAAACGACAAAGTAAATTATAAGCTACTGCAGTTAGTACAATGTTAGTGCAATAAATAGAATATCAACTAACGCCATAAGGGGAACAGTTAACAAAACTCCATAGTGTAACCTCAAAAATGCCCTATCCTATTCACTTGTTTCCTAGATTAGCTTCTGAAAAGAATTCATAAGAGAGGAGAGGAAAAGGGAGTACCTCAAATAATGGATTCCTCTGTGAACATTTGAATTGTAAGCTTCGTAGTAATTCTGCAGAGCTTTCAACACTGCCGTTGGTTTCTGAGAGGTTGCCGCATTGTCTAAGTAAACAAGTTTCGACCCATTTACTTCCTGCCAAATTTAAGAAAAACTTAATAAGCTGAAATTAACCAAAAAAGAAAAGAAAAAAAAAGAAGGAAAATTGAAGGACCTGGTGGAGTATGGGGAAGTCGGGTCGTGTTGAGTGGCCTAATGAGACGGAGCCTTTTTTAACGGCGGCGGAAAGCGAAGCCGAGAAGCGGCGGAAACCTAGACGACAATTCGAGTAAGGGGAAGAAGGTGAAATAGTAGGGCTTAGAAATGGGAAAGAAGGGAGTTTTACAACGACGCCTTCCATAATTGTATTTGTCAAAGACAAACTGCAAATTTTTATTAATGGCTGCCATTTGCTTATCTGTGTGTCCATTATATTCCACTCTTTTACCCGGTGAGAGAATTGGCGGCTTTAAATTATTGGGCTTGTTCAACTTAAGCCCTTAGGCCTGTTTTTTAATTTCTTCTCTCTCTCTTTTATAGTTCAATGCACAAAATAGAGGTTTTTTTCATTATATATCAAAATAAAAGTTGTTTAGGAAAAAAATAATTAATTATAAAAGGCTTAAAGGTGTAAAACGACCTTCAATTGTTTAAAAAATTAAATCAAATTTTTTTTTGCTTTGAATTGTAAAATATCATCAAATTAAATTTTTAGCATAATGAAAAAAATATCCTCCGACATTCGTACAAGTAATCATTTTGCTGTATATTCTTTTTTTAGAACATTTTAAACAAACATTTTAATTTTACATCAAAACATATATATATTGGATGAAAAACGGTTAATTAACTAACAGTCAACACATGTTGCTGACGTGACATTTTCACATGAATAAAAGGTTATCCTCTTCTCCAAGGCATGGGGAAATCTGGCTGGGACGGTTGACATCTCCGATTAAGAGCATTCACATGTATTATCCTAATTGAAATGGTTTAAGTGCTAAACCAACAATGAGATTGACACCAAATGGGACCAATTGTGGGATCAACGGACAGCGTAGTGGCTACGGCCAAAACTTCAACTGCAGGTTCACATGCGTGGACTTCACCATTTGAAGGGAAAGATCTATTCAGCTTTTCCAGGCAATTTGTTTCTCCTCCATCATTCTAGGGTTGTAGGGCAAAAAGGTTTTATGAAATAAAAACGAAAGAAAGAAATGACTTAATGTGCCTGTGGATTGAGCATAAAATGTGTAAAAAGCACGACAATAATTCGAAGGAGCAAATGATAAATTAGATGAGATTCACCCTTAAAAATAATACAACTATTTTTTTTTACATAAATATGGAACAACAATTTTTAACGACAATGTACAATGAACAAAATTGCTTAATGTTCCTACCAGTGTTTTCCAGTCAGCAACATGGAAGACAAACTTTTCTCAAGCTGTACAAAAGCAAACGTCAATATGGGTATCTACTTGAGTAATCAAAAGATAACACATTAAGCCTCACTGTACAATCCATTAACCATATGCATCACCGACCATCGTCAATCCGAGGACGAATCAGTTTCTGCATCTTCACTGAAGCTAGACGGTACATCAATGGAAGATCTAGGTGAGATAAGAAAAAGTTTCAAAGGTTGAAAACTACTATAAAATGCAATAAATATGGGACAGAGGGAAGACTGCAAATGCTTGGATTCAGACCCTGACCCGCTTGATACCATCATACCACCTCATAAGGATGGATGCATAAATCAACTAAGCTAAGCTTTTCACTAATAACAAAAATGTTCTAGTTTACAAGGTTTATGGCTGTTCTGTTTACGTTCTCAGCCTACGCGAAATTGGTTTTCGATAGGTAGGATGCTTAACTACGACAATTGGGTTACGTTTTCCTCATCACTTGAAAGGCACACTAACACACGTATTAATGCTGTTCCGATAGCCAATCATTTTTTCTCGAAGATTCTGTGTCAGAGACATTTCCAGACACGGGATATGGGGACATAAATACATAATTCTCTAAGGACTCTCCAAACACATGGAAAAACATAGAAAATATTTAACCCATTCATGTCGGACACATACCTATGTCCGAGACTCGCATCTTAGATATAGTAACATAGAATAAGAACTAGTAAAAAGCACATAAATACTAACCCTTTAGTCTGATTGTCAACAGAGGCAATTTGGCATGTGATGCATTTGCCACACAATCTTGTTGAGGAAATTGAACATTGACTTGTTTTTTAACCTTAAGATACGAAACAATGTCAAAAGCAAAACATCAGTACATGATATTCTTATTTACCAAAAGCCATCTAAAGCGTGAGCTTACTCTCAAGTCATTTTTCAGATCGGTTTTTACTTTAACAGGACACTCCTTTTTTGTCTTCCACTCTCCACCAAGTTTCTCAACCTGCACATTATGTGATACAAATCAATTTCATGACTAAACATTCTCCACATAAACTGCTGAATGATAAAAGCAGTGAGCAGAAATAAGCCAAAATATGACACCTTTGCAACCCTTGAAGATGACCCTCTCTCAGTGCACAGGGATACATTGTACCCATGTATTGAATTTGAAGTTCTATATAGGTTTCCATTCTTTAAGGCCTTATAGGTATGATTATCATCATCATGCAACCATGGCTTTTCTTGTTCACTGGAAGTTTCCACACCATAGGGGTCGGGATGATTAGAAAAAGAAGCCGGTCCTGACTTTTCAACAGCAAGCTTTGAGCTTGTGGTTCTTTTGCAATCACTGAGAGTATTTTTTTCGGCAGAACAGTTGTAGATATCTAATGAAGACTTGTATTTTAATTGATGACGAGATTTTCTGTCCTGCCTTTCTGATCCATGCACAGTTATAGACTTGGCAACCTCCATATGAGAATCCTGAGAACTAATCTTGGAATTATGTACATCTACCTACAAGGCCATTAAAAAGAAAAAGGACATATGACAAAAAATCACTTTGAATAACATTTCTTGAGAAGAAGATGATACCCACCTGGTTAAATACGAGTTTCTAACATAACTAAGATCGATATATCTTCTAATTGGATGGATTGGATCGACTTCCATGTATCCTTTACCAAGAATAAAGGGCACTCAATGCTCTTACAAAGCATCACAGTGAGCCATTTCAAGCTGCAATGTCAAAAGCTATAGCTGGAATTGTTTGTATTGCAGTTCAACTAAAAGATCTATGATATAATTATAGCTTGAGCGTCGATTAAGTATGCTAAAATGGGAAAATAAAGCATCGGAGAGTCCACTTACAATGTTACGGCTGGGCTGCTTTATAACGCCAGAGATATCAAGAGAATGGGTCTGTCGGGAATTTCCAAAGCATATTGGTTCTACCCAAAGCAATAAATTGAAGATACAAATGAGGTTTTGAATATTTTTAGATTAAAGATGCACGATCGACATTAAGCAAAAAGACCACACTCGCATGCAGACAAAAGGAACGCTTACAGAAGAAAGAAGAAAGAGTATGGCACAGATATTCCTAAGTAGCTATTGTCTCATTAGTGCAGTATGAAAATATGTCATGCTTTAGACAAACATGTTTTTGTTCACGCAAAGCCTCTACTTAAGATTCAAATATATCTATCCTATTTCATTGTCAATTCCAAGCTGTTAATTTAGAGATTTTTTCTATATAGCTTGGACTCTTCAATCTTCATTTTTCTTGGAGTACCCATGTCCGGCACATATTCAGACATGAGTACAGGGAAATGATCCTTCAAAAGTAAAGAAAAATTTAGGAAATAATTGAATATACCGGTGTTGGACACAGACCGGCATCCAACACTAACACCTGGGTCCCTATAACATGGATAAGAATCTTGAAAGCAAGCTAACAATATTTCAAATATAATAATGAAACACTTCTATTCTGCTTAATCTCTAGATTCCAAAGCTTAGGAAAAAGACTTCCATGAAAATAGTTGGTATAACACAAGTATCTCGGTACTGCACTTACCATGGACCGGATTGCTACTTGGGAACACAAACGTACGAGGTGGAAGTGGATCGAATTGAATACCAAGTAGCGGACCTTTGTCTTTGTAATGCCTCTCTAGCTGCCTCTTCACAGCAGTGATAGCAGGATTTTCAGTTTCACCCTTAACCTTCAAATATCCTGATGACTTATAACCAATGCTTTTAGCACCCCTGGAGTTTATTTTTGTAATTGCTCTATTTTCAGTAAGTTTAGAAGAAATTTTCATTTCACAAGGGTCCATACTTTCAGAAAAAGGCTGATCATGTAAAGACAAACTACTTTCAGAAGATGTATCCTCCATATGATCATCATATGGATTTTGATGACTCCTGCCCTTGTATTTGAGGTGAGCAGAAGGAAACTCTTGGCCATAAATCCTTTGACTTTCAACCTCTCTCGGATCAATATTCCGATAATCACCCTGCTTAATACTGCCACAAGAATCTTGCCTGAGCCCACTACCACGATCCTGAATAACACCACTAGAATGTTTTTTGTCACCCATTAGGGTAGGATTCATCTCTCCTTTTGTCTTTCAACCTTCTGTGACAAAACCAACTAGTATCTGCTTTTCTGTCAACCCAATCTGTACTGCCAGTTGTGCTTTCATTTCATCCGAAGGAAATTTTTGCTCTGGAAAAAGAACCAAACTCCTTCTGAAACACTGAAACCTAAGAAAAGAAACATTTAATTAACATGCAAAGGGAAGAATTAGTACCTTTGTAGGCATCCTCAAGAGCCGACACTTGGGCCGGTGTCTTGAGCGTTCTTTTCTTGTTCACAACATCTAGAGAAACTTTATTCTCTTCAGTCTGCAGTTCACCCAAATCTAAAATGATTGCAGAGAAGTCATAAAATATATTAGATATGATGACATTAAGCATGATAGAGATAAAAATAGTTCAAAAGTTCTCATAAGTTTTATGTCATGATACAAATCAGAGCCATCATGGATAAGTATGCTTGATAAATTTCTATCAAGGAGATGAAGTACAGCGGGTAAGAGCCAACTACATGAATTAGTGTAACACAAGGAAGAGGGAAATCCGATTAACAAAAAGTAAAACAAAAACAAAAACCTCATCTAAATTACTAGGAGTTAAACAGAAAATTTTCAGTATATTCCATCAGCCGTGGCCATTTTATTCACCTACACATTCACACGCAATGTTCTTGATATTTCACTCTTGTTTTTAGAAGTACCTCTGGTTATGGCACTTTTCGTAACCGGAAATTCCCTTGGATCGCCCTAAATCAAAACCTAAGCAAGCACAGGTTCTAAAAACAGCTAGCTCGAAAAGCCATGTCTATATATCATTAAAGACCACTAAAAATCATTACACCAGAAAAGCAAATGTTTCAAGGTTAAATCATTACACGAAAATTTATAGTTCCACAACTTACTACACATGCAAAGCCATTAGACAATCACACATTAGGGTTGTATTAGCTGTTGTTAACTTCTTGTACCTCCCTGTAATATAAGCCCAGTCCCCAGTTTCCACTTCCCTCTAATGTACCCTAAACAACATTAAATCATTAAAAATAAAACTTAAAAACAAAAAAACTCTAAAGCAAACAAGACTACAATTCAAGAAGAAAATCATAACCTTTTTGCTGGAAACAAAAATCACGGTTAGAATTTTACATTTCTTCATTTTCCGAACAACCAAACAACCCACCGGGGGCCAAAAAGCAAATTTACAAAAGCTGCTAGGTTTTTTGCCCAAACATTCCTCCATACATGCAAATTTATTTACATATTACAGTGAACTCACAATTGATGAACTTCAAAAAAACCTTAATACCAAAAAGCCAAAAGGGAAAACGTTAATTAACACAGATGTAAAAAAATCTCAAAATTTTGATCCGAGATTGAGGAGCTTAACCTTCCATAGCTTCTGATTTTTTTTTCTCTGGGTACCCTTTGTTTTTTTCAAAGCTTTGTCCTTCGATTAGAACTCAAAATAGGAACACCGATTTTTGCAAAGCAAAATCTGGGTTTTCCATTGCAAATGCTTTTACAAGTCATGAACATTTCCTGACTTCTTTCTTGTTGTTTTCGTTACATTACTGTTCTAATTAATTTGCTCAAAGAGAGAGATAGAGATATAGAAAGACAAAAGAGAGAGATAGAGAAATACAAAGAAGGAAAGAGAGAGGTAAATTCAGATGAAAGAATGAAAAGACAGAGGACAGGAAAACTGTTTTCTATTTTCTTCTTTTCCTTCTTGTTCCGTTCTAGTTTGCTTATTTGATTCAATTACTAGAATTTGTAGGTTGGGGTTTTGGTGTTCTCTTAATTAAATAAAACCCACTTCTTCTTTTTTCGTTTATTTTTTTTGTCTAGTTTTTTAGTAAATTGTAAGAGTAAATTGCTTTAATTTTGAGTGATTCTTGTAATCGTTTAATTATAATGTTTTTAAACTCAATCTTAACTTAGTCAAACCTTAAAAAGATTATAGTTAAATCTGCAATGGAAACATTGATTTACGTAGGATAATAATTTGATTCTAACTCGATAAATTTCGATTGAATTTAGTTGTATATAATATTTTTTTATTAAGCTAAAGTGATTATAACGTAGTATATGTTCTAAATATTTTCAATCATTTAATAATGAGCGTTAAATCATCATTTACAGTCACTGGTACTCGAACCTATGACCTCTAAGAATAACAACGATTTCTTTAACAATTAAGGTAAGTTGGTTCGTGCATAGAACCATCTTTTATAAATAGAAATTTGGTTTGAATACATGTTATATCTTACATAAAAATTTAACAATTATTAATAATCTTATGTCTCCAGTAGAACCTAGACATAAAAACTATTTGTGTATAGGGAGTCGGAGAAAAAAATTGATAGATTACTTTACGGACAATTCTAAATATATAAATAAACTGTCATAAAAAAGGATTTAATTATAAAATACTATCGACATTTTTTGATTAAGGGATACATATTAATGAATGTAACACGAAACGTCTGTTTATTATAATGATAGAAAAAATCGTGCTATAAAAGTATATGAGCAAATATACAGTAAAAGTAGATAAAAATTAAACTCCTAAAAGATATGTATATAAATAAAAAAAATTTAGGAAAAAAAAAAACAAGAAAGGTTATAACACTTGATATATCTTAAGTTAATAATCATAACATAAGAACTATAAGTATATAATTTTAAAAAATTATAACTTAAAATATCTATAAAGGAAATATAATATTGGATTAGATCAAAATCAACCTTCCTAATTCAACTCATTATATATTGGATAAGATATGTTTATGTTGGATTCATAAAAATAAAAATAAAAACAGACGTTTTAGTAAAACATTATACCGTGACAAATTATCCATTTAATATTATATGATATTATATTTTAATAAAATATTTAAAATAATATGATTCTTTTATTTTGATAAAATATTTAATGTAGTACTTGTACTTATAAAATATTTAATTTCATATCTTTACTTCGATAAAATGTCTAATGCAGTATTTCTCATAAGTTAATTTGATACTTGGTAATATTGTTAACTCTGAAAATAATCTTATGGTTAAAAGGAGTGTTGTTTTTCTTCGAGGTTTTAGATTCGAATAGATGTATTTGTAGGATGTGTGCACATTGTCAATTATTAAAAGAGATTCTAAATAGATACTACATTGTAATCATCCGAAATTATTAAAAAAATTATTATGGTTAACCTCAAGTATCATAATAATATAAAGAATGATAGTTCAAATATCATATCGAATGTTTTGACAAAATATACCACATTTGACATTTTAAAATTGTATATATATATTACATTAGACATTCTCTCAAAGTGTAATATCATATTGAACTTTTTTTAAAGTGTATGTATCAAAGGTGATATTATTCTTTAATAGTTAATGATACAAATATGAGTATATAAGATTATTATTTTTTAATAGTTAAAAAAAATTATTAAATTTTTAATAAAAGAGTTAGATTATAAAAAAATAATTATTTTGTTTTAATTTATTTAAAAATATAAATAAGTATTAACTTATAATTATTCTAGACTATTTAAAAAATAAGAAAAAAAATTAAAAAATAGATTTTACTTTCATGTAAATTTATCGTTCAATGTCATTGAATAATTATATAATTACAATTAGTATATATTGAATTTAAACATTAAATGTATTATCGGAGTAATTATTAACTCACCAACAAACTAAATTTAAACTAAATCAACTAACTAACCCGTCCATATATGATTTACATAAATCTAACATGAAAATTTTACTTAAAATTCTAAGTGCATGAGCTCTATAAATATAGTACGATTTTACGAGTACAAAATTAAATTATACAAATATGAGGCATATAAAAATTATAAATTACTTACATTAATACAGAAAATGGTTTCCATCTACATCTATAATGCCTCCAATAAGCAATCTCACCACCAATTGGTGGCAGAGTATTTCATTGACCTTAAATTAATGTTGAACTAGAACATGTATTGAACCTAAATTAGAATTATAAATAATAAATTATTATATATATTACTAAAATTAATCGACATATAAGGTTTAAAATTTAATATAACGAACAAAAAAAATTCAATTGAAAGTTATCTTTATAATATATCCCAATCAATGTATAAATGCCTACGATTGTGTTACTCCCAAATGTACGTCCAAGCCAACTTGATGGTTTGAACAAGGAGAGAATTATCCTTCAAATTATTCACAGCCTTTTATGGTTATTTTTTTAATAGATTATGATTCAAATTAATGTTAAGAAAGTAAATTATTTTAAATGTATTTAATGAGTTTTGATTATATGATAATGTATAATTAGTACAATAATAAATATAATATTTATTATTTATATATTTAATCGATTTAATTATAATTATATAAAGTAATCCTCAATGTTTATTGTACCTTTTTCACTTTAATCCGAATCATCATTTTTGTATCTCCATCCTCACCTCACCTCTTAAGGAAAAAAAACTAAAAAAACTGTCAAAAATTTGACACCCTTCCATGAAATCTTAGGGAATTAAAATCATATTGCAACAAACGAAGAATTTATTCTACAAATTTTATGTTTATTTCAAATGAAGAAATTATATTGTTTATGTTGATAATTAATTATATTTTTTTGAATAGAAAAAAATTGATAATTAATTATATAATAACCAACAAGGTAAACTTTACTCATCCCAACTTTTTAGGGAGAAATCTTAATTGAAAAAATTAAATAATTAAATCAAGGGTAGATTCTGTTTCCAAAATTAGGCCAACCGTGATTCAATAATTAATTAATTTATGGTATTGATTTTGTCACGCCGCCTTTAAACTCCGTTCTTCACATATGCTTTTCTTGAAACCCTAACACTATATAAAGCTCCCCTTGGCTTATAGTTTGTCGAAACGCGCTTTTTCATAAGATTAAATTTCTTCATCAGAGTTTCTTTCTTCTTTTGTAATAAGTTGCATATGGAAGATAATTTTCTTAACAAACCCATTGGATCTCATATTGATGATGATCTCACCGTCGAGAATTTACGAGTTCTTGCTTGTGATGCCGATATTAACAGCCTTACGTATCTTTGTGCTGTGCTCGTAAACTGCAAATATAAAGGTATGCTGATTATAAAATCCTAACACTAATATTATGTGTTGATTCGTTAGAAGGAGAGCAAGTTTAATGTATTTTGAAAAGCAGTTAAACATGCAACAAGTGCGGCTGAAGCAGTAGGGATACTGAATGCAAACAAAGAGGGATTTGACGTTGTATTTGTGGACGTTGATACTCATAGCTCAGATGCCTTTAAGCTTATGGAGACGATAAGACATGAAATGCGGTTACCGTTGATAAGTAAGTAAGCTTTATTTATAATTTTGTTGTAACCGAGTATATTAATTAAAGAGATTTTGTTTTCTTTCCTCTTGTAATGCAGTGGTGACAGGAGATGTCAGCCCAGAAAACAAAACCAAGGGTCTATCCCACGGGGCTGTAGATTGCATCAGAAAACGCCCTGAAAAGGAGGAAATCATGAACACTATTCGACACCATTTTACTCGTAATAAGACGACAAGGGATCACTAATATCAGAAGCGTTTGCGACGTTACAATTCTCCTACAGAGGATGGTCCGTCAGAAAAAGATGGGAAGAAAAAGAGGATGGTTTGGACCCCGGGGCTTGATGCAAAGTTTGTAAAAAGCGTTCAGACGTTAGAGAAAAGTAAGTACTTGGCTATTTAAATTTCAGTTGCAGTTGCGTTTTTGGCTATATCACGATTGAAAATATAGCGGGTGTTGTTGTTGTCATTGACGGTATTAAAGTTGTACAATGACGAATTTAGATGGTACCACTACCGCTATATAACGGCCACTTTTCTGATAGCGGAGCTATTTAAGACTTTGCTAGCTACTAATTGTTCCCGAGAAAGATTTCCTTTGATGTTACTGAAACTGTGATTGTGTTTGTATTGGATTTGTAGAAAATATGGCGCATCCCATGAGGATACTGGCCATGATGAACGAACAAGGACTCACTCGGAAACATGTTGCTAGCCATCTACAGGTAATTTTCAACTTTCTCCTACGCATCTTGCTACTTGCACATTCATCCCGATTCTTTCTTTCCTTATTCTTTGTTTTGTTTGTAATAGAAATATAGAATTTCGTTGAACAAGGCCAAAGCTGCTAAAATGAAGGAACAAGGTTCCCCATTAGAAGCAACTAGCTGTCGTAGAAGATTGGAATTTGAAAACTTCAATGCTGATCTCGGTCTACCTGTTAATGAGGTCCACTCCTTGAACTCTTCTCTCGGCCCAACAATGGGGGACACGGCAATGCCGTCGTCCGGAAGCTCATCGGTGCCGTTCCAATCCCATGATCTTCATAATTGCTTAGGTGGTCAAACGCCAGATGTTTTCGATAATTACTTGTTAGAAACGAACGTTCAACCTCATAATCTTGAACCGGAGGCTGTTTCCGGGACTACTTATCAGTCACAATCTCCATACCTTCAAGGTGAGGGCCCTGTGACTATCCTTCCTAGCGGTCCTGAGTTCTACGTATTCCCATATAAGTTTTTGAAACGAGAAAGAATTGCAGCTTATCGTCTTCCTCCTGCAGTTAGTCCAGTTTCATATAATCTTAATGGTACTAAATTGTCATCCTTTTCCTCAAATTTGATTATTTTATCACTTAGCTCAATGGTTAGTTGTTAACATTGGCATCTCAAATTATGCAAGGGATTGCAAACAATGTGCACTATCCAGTTTCCACAGTGAATGGCGTGACCGAACCTTCAGTGGGGAATGGAACAACCGAATCACCATCGGGTACAAGTTCCAGGCTTAATTCTGAGCCCAACAATCAAGTCTCTTTTGTGGATAACAACCATATCCACAATGGTTTGAGCGAGGAGAGCTTTGATTATTGTTCTTTTTTAAATGATAACTACCTTTATGGGATCTAACTGAAACTATTTAATTGCGTTTATTGATTCTTAACTTAGTTTTGTTAAAAGTCAAATAATTTAGGCGCCAAATTAGGCACCAAATGGTGCTTTGTCAAAGTCAAAAATTAGACACCTAATTTTTATTGAAATTGGGTAATGGGATAATTAATTTTAGTCATTGTAATTTAGGGTATTTATAAGATTAGTCCTTAAGTTTCAACTATAAATACCCTAGCTCATATAGCTTCAAAATCATCCCAAAGCATTCTAGCTTTCTTCCAATACTAGAGAGAATTTAGAGAGTTTCTTGAGAGTTGTTTTCTCCTTTTTTATCAAGAGAGAATTATCATTGTTTTCTCCTTGGTAGATCGAGAGAAGTTGTAATTCCTATTTTCTCATAGTGAAATTCTTCTACCGTTGCCCGTGGTTTTTACCCTATTTTATTTAGGGGTTTTCCACGTAAATTTTGTGTCTTTTTTTATCTTCATTTTTAGTTTCTCAAATTATCAGTTGCAATTTTGCTCTATCCGATAGCCGTCTTCCGCAACAATTGGTATCCGAGCTAGATTAGAGTGTGTAATATCTGCTTATTGTCTTTGTGGTTGCCACCAAAAGGTCGATCCTCTAACATAAGAAAGTAAGAAGTTATTACCCATTCTTTGAAGGTTCCAGAGAACTATTCACGATAGTGAAATAGTGGGAGCTATCCGTAAACGAAGCAATGGCAACGAAATTTGATATTGAAAAGTTCAATGGGAGAAATTTCTCATTGTGGAAATTGAAGATGAATGCCATCCTGAGGAAAGATGGTTGTCTAGCAGCTATCAGCGAAAGGCTAGTAGATTTCACAGACGAAAACAAATGGATCGAAATGGACGGAAATGCTATGGCAAACTTTCATCTAGCATTAGCAGATGAAGTATTGTCAAGTATCGAGGAGAAGAAGACAGCTAAGGAGATATGGGATCATCTCACCAAACTGTACGAGGTCACATCGTTGCACAATAAAATTTTCCTTAAGAGAAAATTGTATACTCTCCGTATGCCAGAATCTACTTCAGTGACGGAGCACTTAAATACACTGAACACTTTATTTTCTCAGCTTACATCCTTAAGCTGTAAAATAGGAGAACAAGAACGTGCTGAACTTCTACTTCAAAGTCTACCGGATTCATATGATCAACTCATCATCAACTTGACAAACAGTAATGTCACCAGTCTAGTCTTCAATGACGTTTCAGCTGCTGTTCTACAAGAAGAAAATCGGCGCAAGAACAAGGAAGACAGACAAGTAAATCTGCAACAAGCAGAAGCGTTGACAATGATAACAATGATGACAACGATGAGAGGGAGATCAATAGAACGTGGCCAAAGCAGCAGTCACAAACATGGTAGATCGAAGTCGAGAAGCAAGAAGAATTTAAAGTGTTAAAACTGTGGAAAGAAGGGTCACTTGAAGAAAGATTGTTGGAGTCTAAATAAAAACTCCAATCCACAAGGCAATACCGCAAACACTTCAGATGATGGAGATGCTCTATGCTGTGAAGTGTCAACCACCGTGGAAAGAAGAAAACGATTTGCAGATATATGGATCATTGATTCGGGAGCAACATATCACATGACCTCAAGAAGAGAATGGTTTCATCATTATGAACCTGTCTCAGGAGGATCTGTGTATAGTTGTAATGATCATGCCTTAGAGATCATTGGCGTGGGAACCATCAAATTGAAGATGTATGATGGAACAATTAAAGTTGCTCGAGATGTGCGGCACATGAAAGGTCTAAAGAAAAATTTATTATCCTACGGATTGTTGGATAATAATGCTAGCAAGATTGAAACACGAAAAGGAATCATGAAGGTGTTCCGTGGAGCGCTTGTGGTACTGAAAGGTGAAAAGATAGATGCAAACTTGTACATGTTGAAGGGAGAGACATTGCTAGAAGCAGAAGCCTCTGTTGCCTTATGTAGTTCAGATTCTGCAATGCTATGTCATAAGAAACTTGGACACATGTCAGAACAAGGAATGAAAGTCCTTGTGGAGCAAAAGCTACTTCCAGGCTTAACAAAGATATCACTTCCTTTGTGTGAGCATTGCATAACAAGTAAACATCACCGGTTGAAATTCAACACATCAAATTCTAGAGGCAAAAGTGTTCTAGAATTGGTTCACTCTGACATATGGCAAGCACTAGTAACGTCCCTAGGTGGAGCAAAATACTTTGTCTCATTTATTGATGACTACTCCAGGAGATGTTGGGTGCACCCTATTAAGAAAAAGTCAGTCGTGTTTTCAATTTTTAAAAACTTCAAAGCGCGGGTGAAACTTGATTCTGAAAATAAGATCAAGTGTTTCAGAACAGATAATGGAGGAGAATACACAAGCGAAGAATTTGATGACTTTTGCAGGAAAGAAGGCATCAAAAGACAGTTCACAGTGGCGAACACTCCTAAAAAAATGGAGTGGCAGAGCGGATGAACAGAACCTTGTTAGAAAGAACAAAAGCAATGTTGAGGGATGCAGGCCTAGAAAAATCAATCTGGGCAGAAGCAGTCAATACCGCCTGTTATTTGGTGAATCGAGCTCCATCAACTGCAATAGAGCTGATGACACCAATGGAGATGTGGACTGGAAAACCAGCTGATTATTCAAACCTCCATATATTTGGAAGTATAGTGTACGTGATGTACAACTCCCAAGAAATTTCAAAGTTGGATCCAAAATCCAGGAAATGCAAATTCTTGGGGTATGTTGATGGAGTAAAGGGGTATCGCTTGTGGGATCCCACTGCCCGTAAAGTGATCATTAGTAGAGATGTTATCTTTGTAGAAGATAAACTACAAAGAAAAGAAGACGATGATAGCGCTGAAAAGTCAGAGACTACTCAGATACATGTGGAAAAGAGTTTGAAGAAGGAGATTATTCTGAAGCAGAACCAGCACATGATGAACAAGAACCAGAGAGTTCTGAAGCTCCAACAACTCGTCAATCAGATCGTCTGAGAAGATGTCCCAATTGGCACTCAGATTATGTTATAGAAGGTAATATTGCATACTGCCTTTTAACAGAGGACGGTGAGCCATCAACATACCAGGAGGTAATAAACAGCTCAGATGCTTCACTGTGGATGATGACGATGCAAGAAGAAATCGAAGCCCTTCATAAAAATAATACATGGGACCTTGTGCCACTACCACAAGGAAGGAAGCCAATTGACAATAAATGGGTCTTCAAAATCAAGCGAAATGGTGATGTCGAAACGATTCTTTTCTTAAAAGGTGAAAAACGGTGAGATTTTAAAAACCACATTAATCCTTAATTATCTCTTTTTAATTTAAAAACAAATGTGATTTAAAAGACCTCTCGTTTCGAAAATTTTTTAGATTTCCTTTACGATCGAAAAAATACAATTCAAAGAGTCGCCACCAATCTTTGATTAGGGTGTGATTGGGCACCCAAAAATGATGTCATTTTAAATAAAAATTAATTTTAATTAAAACAACAAATTGAGGTATGCGTTACCAAAATCCGAGTTCGGGAGTCGGTTACGTGTAGGGAAGGATTAGCACCCCCACAACGCCCTAAAACGGTACCTAGTCGATTAATTAACGTCTTTGCAATGAACTTTACAAATTCGAATTTATTTTAATTTTTGATCCCATAAAACAAAAATGTAAATTTAAAACATTCAAAAACACCCAAACAAATTAAATTAAAATTACCAAGTCATTTTAGAAAGATAAAGAATGTTCGATTATTTACAAATATCGAGACCAGATCTTAAAGATATAACAACCTTTTCTCGATATATTTAAATAAACGAACATTTCTTTTTCTCTCGTTCCCAAATTTTAGGTGACGAATCAATTTTTTTGGTTTCACTTTCGGGATACACTTTTAATTTAAAATCATTAAAAGCGGACCTCAAATCAGTTATGACTGCCCACTTCAACAATTTTAAATTAAAAGGATATTACCCTTAGTTAAATTATGTAATAGGTCGAGTTATGCGCGTGAGGCTATCATGCAAATTATGCAGAATGATTTCAAGAAAACCTATACCTAGATAAATACACTAATGAATAAAAATGCCATGTCAAACAAACATAAGGACTGAAATGGAACGAGCCATAAATTTTAAAGTTAAAATCATAAATTTAGCATAAATAAAGTCCTAACATATAAAACCATCACATTCCGTGTACCAAATTTGAAATAAATACCTAAACATATGTAGGACTGAAATTAAATTCGCATAAAATAAAGGAACAAAATTACTAACATGAAAAATTCAGCCTAGGGATTCAAACGAAACATGCAAAAACATAGAAGCAAAATGCCTAAAATAACAAGAACTAAATGACACAACATTTGGGACTGAACTTAAATACGCATAAAACTATGAAGATCAGATAATAAGATACTCTATTCATGGATTAAAATGAACTAAACCGAATAAATGCATGACTAACTAAGAAATAAATCCACAATTACATGCTGGACCAAAATGTAGATTTACAAAACCACATAGCAAATGTACAAACCAAGAATAATTCAAAACAACTATGTTCAAGGACTAAAATAGAACGTGCAAACACTTGAAAACCAAATGTGCAAACGAAAGAAAATGTATACCATATCATTCAGGACTAAAATAAAATGTATATGAAAGATGAAGTCCAAATTACAAAACAAACAAGACTCGATTGGGACCAAAATGGAAATCAACGGCAGAGGTGTAGTGACCTTAAAGAAATTATCCCTAAAATTATAATATAAAACCTACTTTAAACTAAACCTAACCCTCATTCTTCATATTTTCTTCTTCCTCACAGCCGCAATGCTCCCTTCTTCTCCCTCTCCCTGCGCAGTTCTCACTTCTAACTCACAAACTCACACAGCCATCTCTCGACCACTC